GCAGGACCCCCTGCCCACAGGCAGGAAGTATTTGTTTAAGAGCATGATTCCTGGGTCCAAGACCTGGATTGTCCTGTGTGAATCCAGAGCTGGTGAGAAACTGCCACCGTCTCCTCTGCCAGATTAGATAATGTGTTACACCAACACATTAGGTGCAAAAAACATACGTGAAAAATTTTTGGTTGCGAAGCAGCGTTCTTAGCCTGTGGTGGTGGAATAAACACTATTTTTGCAATAGTGACAACAGTGTGAAAGGCGCTACGTGGCCTTAGGGAACCCTGGTTTGCACAGGCATCTCAGAGGAGCAGTACATATTCCAATGCATCATACCATCTGGAAGAAACAGCATGTAAAAGAAAAGAGACAGTGATGTATTCTGCTTGCTTATAGTAGAGCTTACAAGAAGTTGTGGGTGTTAAGCTTGCAGTTAACTCTTCAGGGGAAGGAGAAGGATGAAATCACTGTGGAAAATATTATGAGGCACTCAGGTGAACCTCAGGGAGTTCCTTTGCTGCAGGAGTGTAATATCTGGTTAAACCACTATCAGGAACTGATTGTACCTGATCTAGGGTATCCTAGATAACTTCTTGAGGATCCTGCTAGCTCTGCAATTACTCCATATTGTCACTAGTGCTATGATACTATAGCTTTACAGTGATTTAAGACTATTTTAAACCAATAGGACTAATGTGCTGAAAGGCTTTATGAAGCCACTGTAGAGGACCATCCTCATCAGTAAGGAATGAAACGTAAAATGCAGCTCAGTGCAAAGCACAATTTCCATTTGTGAACTGTCCTTCCACTCTGGCATGTTATAGGAGTGGCTGTGCATCTCTGGCATGGGTTTATAGGCAGTGTCATGGAAGAGGAATGAACACCTTTTGTATATCCTGATGTGGTGCATGGAGTGTTTTCAGATGGACCTCTTGAAAGCAGTAATGTGACAGTCCATCCATCCATCCATCCATCCATCCATCCATCCATCCATCCATCCATCCATCCATCCCTCCCTCCCTCCTCAGCCCTCCTTGTGATGTGCAGCTGTGGCTCCTGCAGAGCTGTAAGTTGGTCCCAGTACATTACGAGTAGAAATGCAGAAACAGAACCTTAACAGAGTATCCCTAGAATACCTTTTACCCTGTCTGATGCAAACAAACTTGAGGCTTTGGAAAAAGGTATACCGCACTTTCACCTCCCTTTCTTATTCAAAAAAACAATGGCCCTGTAAATTTCATGTAAATGTTGATGGGATTCCTTTTCTACACTTAGAGAAAAATAATCTGCACACGTCTAAGATGTTAATAGCTCTTTCAGTTTGATCCTTTGGATTGTTTTCTGTTTTCTAATCATATTTTCAAGTGAGGTTGTTTTCTTTCTAGTTGTAGTATTTACTGCCACTTTCTAGTTCAGAATGTCACAGAGAAATGGGGACTGTAAATAATATTTACCTCCCACATAGTGAATACTGTCACCACCCCAGCTTTCTGGCAGTTTTGAGCCTGCCTGTGTTCGAGGGAATAATCGTTCTTTGCAAGTAAGGGTTGAGGGAGAGCTAGTGACCTGTTCAGAGGATTAGAGTTTGTGGGTGATCAGACTGTGGTCTCAACCCTGGTGAGATCTCCTCACTTCTGCTGAGCAGTGGAGTGTGCTTACCAAAGCTGCTGAGAAGGTTGTAATGACAGCTTTGATGCTGAAGAAAATCAAACTGCTTTACTCACAGAGGGAGGCATTCCTGTCTGTATGTGTAGGTGTGTTTGGCTGGTGCTGCTCAGTGCCCAAGTGTGGCAATGCTGCGCTGGCATTTCTGTGTGAAATGGTTCTGACTGGGCTTCTTTTCAACAGTGGCATCTGGCACCTTGTCTACTGTTATGGGAATGAGATTCTACAACTCCAAAAAGGCAATGCCCGGGATAATTGCTGGTGCCAGGTAACCACCTGTCTGTTGTTCTTGTCTGTGTTACTGAATAACCATTTTATTTAGCTTATTTGTGGATTATATTGTTTTGAAAATGTAACATGGTAAGTTCTGTGAAAAATGAAATCTTGTGGTGGTGTTCGGCTAAATGAAATGTCAGTCTTTTCTTCCTTCTTGTTCTTTATGGGATTTTTGCCTCCACCTCCTTCTTTTTATAACAACTATTCTGTTCCACAGTTTACTGATGGTTGGACGGCTTGGATTGCAGATGATGGAAAAACCTATTAAGCCATAAGTCTGAATCAAGTGACTTGAAGAGACATGACTGAGAAGCCCAAAAATGCAACTGCCTAAATGTGCTGCACATAAGTGTAACAGGCACTGCTACCTGTGTGTTGTATTTTTCATATCCTAATGCACGTGAGTTGTGTTTTTAAAGGATTGACATAGAGAGCCCTTGTCATGGTATTTGTCAACATTTGCTGCACTGAAAGCAAGCAAAAAAATATGAGTATAGCAATAGTTTAGCTTCTGTTCCTGCAGCTTCGTGTCAGCAAAGACCTCCTGGCCCTTGCATTCAGACAGTTGCAGGATTGAAGCTTAAATGCACATCTAACTTGTCCTTCTAAAATCATGTATACCTCTGAAACCAGGAGAGAGGAGTTGCCGATTTGTTACTAGTAATTCATACAATAAACGTGCTTATGATGTTCCATCTCCCTTTCCATGCCAGTTTATCTGTTCACAGTGTTTGTCAGTCAGGGAGTTTGTTCTCCCAGCATTGCATGTTAGAACCTGGTCCCACAAAACACAATCATGGAGCCAGCTGTTGAGGCTCTGCTGTAATGCAATAAATGCATACCCATGACTTGCAATCATTTGTAAGCTCGGCTGTATGTCATTCATTTTACTTTTACAGATTACTACTCATAAATTAAAAATATGCTTTATTAGGTAATGCTGAATTGTAGGCACAGCTTTATTAAAATGTTATTTTAATAAACCAAGAAATTATTCTTGCAAACTTTTGTGTTCTACACAGGTTATTTTGTCTCTAATTGTTCATCTGGATGATACAGTTTGGTGCCTTTCCTGCAGGGTGTCGGGATATATTTGCGAGCATGAATTGTATAAATAATCTATTGTATCCCTGAATCTAGTAACTTCTAAATTAAAAAAATCTGAACTGGGAGAGAGGTGACAGCACAAAAGCATACAGACCACATATTCAGACAAGTATTATATTAAAGTTTTTTATTTTGGGTTTTTTGGTGTTTTTTTTGGTGTTTTTTTAGTTTTGTTTTGTTATGGTTTTGTTTTGTATTCTGAGAGGTTAATCTATTTTAGATTTAGAAAATACTGTATGAAAGTTTATTTAAAGACCAAAGGGCTTATTTGATCAGCCTTTGTCCTCAGTTAATTCCCTTAATGCCTGAAATCATTATAAACTTTCCATAGAGAAATATCCTGGAAGATACACATGACTGGTAATGCATCCCTTTTCTGGTCACATTTAACTTATGTCCCTTTTTGCACAGATCCTGAGCTTCGATTTCTTCAACCTTTTTTCTTTGGTGCCTGATACTGAGAGGGATGGAAGCAAGAGGGCTGGTCCATTAGATTGGTGAGACTCTGGGGCTGCTCAGAATTCTCTGAGTATCAGGGTAGTACCTTGGCATGAGGATCACATTCTGTGGTTTTCCTTCCCTCCTCCCTCGTCGCAGAAGCACAGGCAGGGCAGTGACCTCGTGCTGCGTGAGCAGGAGGCGCAGAGCTGGGCCAGTGGCCACAGCCAGGCTCTGCCAGCAGGGAGGTGGTTGTCCAGGCAAGTCACAGGGATGAGACAGGACTGAGGTCAAACCGGGATGCCAGGTCAGTCAGACTGGCTTACGGATCTGCAGGGACGTGGCCAGGAATGGGTACAGCTCCAGCAAGAGTCTCAGCAGCCTGGTCCCAGGCCAGACAGCTTGGGTTAGAGCTGGCTTGAGCACAGACAGATCTGGATGAGGAACTGTACCCAGAGCATCTTCTTACAGCCCTTATTCATCACCCTGCAGAGTTCAGTTTCAGGTGGTCACCTGTATTTACATTTCTCTCCTATCTCTCTGCATGGCAATAAGGGGTGTGCAGGACAGCAGATGGTTTGTTAACATGTCACCCTTTTAAGTGCCTAATTCCAGCCCAGGACCCAGCACTGGTAGGTAGGTGTCCCCACATCTTTGTTCTAATTTGAAAAAGTTAGTAAGCCAGATGTTAGCATTTAAGACACTTTTCTTTAAACTGCTTTATGGTGAGGATTTTTTGCCTCTTCATATTACTGTTGAAGCAGTTTTCTTCTGTAGGAGTAGGATGCAAACATAAATGCATCTCCTGCAATAAACTGAGAAGAGCCATGACCCAGCAGTTTTGTAATTGTATAATGCTGGTCTCAAGCCAGGTAACTGGTGAATTTAAATTTCAGTTGTCTTTAACAGAATAAAGACAGTAGAAAGCAGAAAACTGGACTGGTAAGCTTTTATACTTTTAGATTAAAGTGTGAATCCTTGCTGCTGTTTCCTGAGCTTTGGAAAGTAATAGGTTGAATTGAGAACTGCTGGTAGAAGTAATTTAGAACTTGTAGTAGAACACTCAGGCTCAGGATAAACAGCAGTAATACAGGCAAAGGGACAAGAGAAAAATCTTAGTTTTACACACTTTGTATCCCTTTGAAAATTTATTAGCATATAATAATGTTTTTAAGCATTTCTGCACTAACAGTCCAATGTGTACCAATGAATCAGAGTTAAATGACTGTACAAAGCCCATTAGCCTATTCTTGCTGCTTGCAACAAGAATTATTCAACTGCTGTCATGCTTTGCTTGTGGACAAGTAAAGACTGATCTGGTTATGTCAAAGCCCTTTCAAGATTGATTAGCATGCAATAAGGACAGCATGTTTCTTCTAACCATATTTAGTGCCATAAACAGTAGCTGTTTATTTTTCTTCTCTCAGGTGACTCAGACACATGAGTTATCAGCACATTATTAGTTAATTCCTTGACCAGGCTGTGATTTTAACTGTCATTGGCATCTTGTACAAGAGATGAGTAATTAATTTTGTTTTTTAATTATAAAATCATAGCTTTTATGCCTGTTGCAAACTGTCTGAGGGTGTCCTTCCTTGCCATAGCAAGTTACAGATATGTTGTACAGTTAATTTAAGATGCATTTATGCAGCATAGGGACATCTCTTATTACTAAGGGAATGGCAAATACTTAATCCTAGACCAGTGGCAATTGAATTAAACTCTCTAGTGCATTACTAACCAGACAGCCCTATCCTTGTGTAGCTCTTACAGTATTAAAAAAAAGTAGTGTTTACTTTCGGTGCAATTTTCCTAACAAAATATTTGACTTTTTGGTACAACTGTTTTAGATTAAATTGCTTTTCAGGAAGTTAATGTAACCCATACATTATAACACAAAAGGAGTTTAAAGTTTAATATTCATTTATAAAAGCCATACAAATAAATTTATTTTTTAAAAATGCTTGAAGTCATCATTAACAACTTGATGTCTGAAAAGAGCATTCTCAGTCTTTACTTTAAAATGGCAAGTTTAATGTTACTATAAAGTCTAAAGCATTTATTCTAAATACAGCTGTTAAAAGAAGTAGCCCAGCTCAACATCCTAATAAAAATTCACTGTACATTGCAAAGTCCTTTGGGCAATATTATTATATAAGTTAGCATAAAAGCTGGGGAAAGTACTGAATGAGCATATAAACACTGACATACTGAATTATTACAGTTTTGTCCGTGTTTTCAGGTACCTAAGTTGGCCTTTAAGATCTAAAACAGAAAGCAATGTCTTTGAAGAACAGATCAATAATCTTCCTCATGTAGCCTATTCAAACTCTGTAGTTTAGTCCAATCACCCAATAAAGACATACAGGAACATGAGTTTAGTGATAATTTACGCATTTTTGGCTAATTCACCCTTAAAATGACTGACAGACTGCAGTTATTTGGCTCTTTAAAAGGTCACTGTGACACTCCCTTGACAGACCAGAGATAAATCTTTACAGATCTTTGACAAAAAATGGCAATAAGTTAATTAAAACAGCACAATCTGATTGTTAGGCTTTACTTTACAACCTGGTAAGTAGTATTCAGTACTTGTTTAACTATTTTCCCATATTGCTGTATCATTCAATAGCCCTCTATCAGCCAGATTTCTAGACCTTCCTTGTGTAATATCAGTGGATTGCCTATGTCCTACTACAAGGGTTTCAGTTCTCATTGCTACATGAATATTTACACCTTACAGACCCTGAGTAACTCTTAGTGAGTTCTGAAATCCTTGCAGGACACTGATGCTCTTCACAAAGCCAGATCTGTGCTTTCACTCTTGTCTTCATGCTAAGGAACCAGCCTCACACCTGGAAGCCTGGTGCTGCTCTGCTTCAGCCCTTCTTTGTGCTGCCTGTGTGCTTCAAGCACGTTCCAGCAGCAGATGTTGCACTGGATGAACAACCTTATCCTTTGTTGTTCCAAAGAGTATGAGATCAGGAGATTTATCTATAGAAAACATCAGGTGAAATCTACTTCTTAGTTTTGGCAATATGTATTGTACAATACTTCATTGCATCCTACTTTACAGCCAGTATTTTACATGGTATTATATGTACTATACAAATAATAGAACGCAAGGTCTTTTTTTCTTCTTTACTGTTGCATAGTCTTAAGAAAAGCTGGAGCAAATAGGCTTTTTCAGGTTTCCAAGTGCAGGAGAACTGAACACAGAGCATGTAATATCCACACAGGATGTATTTTCTATCTGTTTCCTCCATACTTGGCCACCCAGTCTGTTCTTCCATGCACTCGCTGAATTGTTGGGGGGTGAGTAAAGATACTCATGTTTTTTGTTGCTGCATTGAAAGTAGGACCTGGTAATGGAGGACGAGCAACTTTGTTTTTCCAGGAATAATCTACAAGGAATAAGAACTCAGAATTAATTATGACTAAAAAGGTATTTTACTCCTCTACAGATAAAAGAATGAGAGCTTACAGATGACTTATGGACCTCAAGGATGCTAATGCAGCAGGATGCTTTGGTCTCCTGTATGTCATAAAACATCCTGAGTTGGAAGGGACCCACTAAGATTATAGAGTCTAGCTCCTGGCCCCACACAGGAGAACCTCAAGAATCACATCATGTGCCTGAGACCTTGTTGTCTATGCTTGTTTTCAGATAAGGCTATTTTTTCCAATAGTTTGTGTGTATTATTCTCACATACTGAATAGTTGTTTTGCAGCAATCCCTCAAGAAAATGCTGAGAATGAAATTCAGTGGAAAAACTGATGCAACTGCCTACAACTCTGTATCTCCTATTACAAAACTGCTACAGTATGAAAGTGTTCTTTCTTCTACCTCAAATGTTTAAAAAAGCATGTAATTATAGCATTGATAAGCTGATTAAGATTTAAACAGCTTAGCCTGAAGGACAGCTTCTGGAGACCCTCTTGTTCCTTTTGAGATTTTATTCCTTTTATTCCCCTCTTGCTTAGCTCAGAACTCCTAGTATACTTGGTGGCAAGTCTTCTTTGCTCCATTTCCCATTTCTCCCTTAATTTCACAGGATTTATTCTAAGTTTGGGGGCTTTCTTTCTCTCTCAATATTGGCACCCACCTGATCTCAGGCACTAGCAGTAGGGCACTACTGTATTCCTGTACTTCCTATTCAGATTTCCCCTTTTGACACTTCAGATAGTTGCTACTTCCTTGAATTTCATGCAACTAAAGTAATTGCCCTGCTGCAGGGGCTGATATTTCTTCATGTTCATGACCAATTCAACCATTTTCCCAAGTCTTTAAAATTAGCCAGCCAGGACCCCTTTTATTCAGACTCCTGCTACACCTTACCCTTGTTTCCTTAGCATTCCTAAGGTAGTTCCTGCCCCTTCCATTCCTACTTTTATGTTTTAGTCTCATTATGTACTGACACTCTTTAAAACAAAATTTAACATTTAAATTGATGGTTTTTTTGGTGCCTAAGTATTATTCTGTTTGTTAGAGAAAACCACCTGGTTTTGGTAGCGTTTTTCAGCAGTGGATTGGACCTGTTAAGGAACAGGTGAGGATCAAGACATTTAAAAAGGGGGAACATCACAGAGCTGATATTTGGGGTCAGGTCTCCACCTCTTTGAATACTTTATTTTTATTGTAGGCTGGCATTCCCTATCTTTCACCAGCAAGTATGATTCCAGTCTACACTATCTTGGCAATAAAGGCCACTTTTCCTGGTATTTCAGAAAAAGGGATTTTGTATACTACATTAAATTATGGCATAAAAAAAATTAACAAAAAAAAATGAAAAGAGCAAAAACAATTGACAGCATAACTTATTACATTTTGGATAATATAAAGGAAAGGGTCACCAAAAATGTTAATATTCAAATACTGACATCTAGGAGATAAAACCTGCCATTTCCTTTGTCCTTATCTCTCTTTCCATACAACTCTGAAGACTTTAAGCTAAATACGAGTGGTTTAAGCAACATTCTTGTTCTTCTCCTGGAGGTAGAAGAGTATCTTAATTGACCTCCATCTGCCAGCTTTTCTGACTTCTACTACACACATTCCATTTCTAATTACAGATAACAGTAAATTTTACTTCCTTTGGAACACCACATGTGATTTTTTTTTGCACTATTCACAGCAGTCTAGAGAGAATTGCAGATTTTGTCCTCCTGTGAACTTCTTGATCCATGCATTGTGACAAATCAACTCTTGCAATTGTGTTTCAGCAGTGACTCAATAAGATAATTAAGTGCAGCCCCAGCCTTTCTTGGTGGGTTTCTGAATAGAATATGCACACATCTAAGCATATTATATATATTTATATATATATATATATACACACACACACACATATATATCTACACATATATATATGTGTGTGTGTGCGCTATCTCCTTCTTTCTCTCATGCTCTAGTTCTCTGAAGCCACTTGGAAGTTCTTAGGGAGAAGAGGTAACTCAAAGGAGCTTGTCAACAAAAAGACAACATTATTAAGCAGGACCGTATCAGATTGGTCTGCCATGGATGCTTTGGTTAAACAATTCACTACTGGTTTAGGGCCTTGCTATTTCCTCTGAAGTAACCAGAGAAGTGGGCTGCTGGTTGTGGACAACAGCTCTAAATCTTCACTTGCAAACCAGTTTCTCCCTACATCCTAACTATCAGGACAGCCTCTAGGCACCTACATGCAGTTCACTTGTATTAAGAAGAATTTATGCCCTACAATTTTCTTTACAAAACTTGAGGAAAACCATACCAAGGGCTAATACATCTGTTAGGAAGCATGGAAAATGAACATTTCTCTTTGTTCTGGATATGAGTAGCAAAAGAATATTTCTTACCTGATACAGGTGCACCAAGAGGTGCTAGCTGTATCCGTTGTCCAGCTGATCCAACTTCTTTTTTGTGGAAAGAAGAGGTGTGTAGTCCTGATGGGTTGTAAGCACCACTACTTACAAAGCCAGGATTTCCTGTTGACATTACAGAATTTTAGAATTTTCAGCTGCATTCAGAAAACACTGCCTACTTTTTCTAGTCCCTTCAAATTATATTTGCAGTACCACGAGAGTACCAAGTATGAGTGTTATTTAAAAACTTGCTAGTGCTTGTCTCTTGAAAAACATTCTTTCATTGAATTTATTCTCTGCTTTTTTTATTAGTTGGTCCGTTTTCAGCACTAGCAGACAGAAATTCAGCAGGAATAAAGACGAAGAGCAGGATAAACATTTAATTATTACTTCCACTAAACTTAAGACCACATAGAAAGGTTTACACTGAGATGCAGAGGAATGTAGGATCTTACCTTTTGTTTACATCTACTTGCTTTACTGGAAGCTGGTTTAACGAGTGCTCAGTACTACTCTTGTGCTCAAAATATTTGGCCTAAATCTACTGAAAATAATGGAATCCAATGTCTCTCGTGCAAAGTGGTGCACCACTTGAAGTTGACTTTGACAGTTCCCACAGTTGAAGGCCTGCTATAAAAGTCAGACTCAATTATCCTCTCTCTTTGACCCTGGTTATAATTCTGTTTATGCCTAGTTTTGGTCCAGATCTTTCTTTAAAGCAGCACTACCTTGGGAAAACTGACAAAAGCGTCCTTATCTGGAAGCTGGGAAGCACTGTGCATGTATATACAAAATTAGTTCTGAAATTAGTGTTCAGTGGAAGAGTGATCTGTTACAATATTTACTCCCTGATCCAAGAAAATCCCTCACTATCTTCATGTCTGTCATCACTTGGGACAATGTTAAGACTGTGCTGGCACAATGTCTAGAGAGAAATGCTTTTCTCTAGTGGTAAGATTTTGTGTTCAGTAGTATTAAATTTATGAAGTAGAAGGCTATACCTAGTAGTTAATTTTGACCTTTATCATGTGTGAGCATATTCATTACGGCTTCAGTGGTAGTTACAGTAAAACACACTATCTGCTTTGCCAGTTTTTTTGTCTCCTAAATCTTTGGCCTATCCTATAATGTTCCTCTTCACACAAACACTCCCAGAACTCTGTGATAATTTCAGAGCAGATGAACTATAAGGCACAAACTAGGTAGCCTGGAATCCTGAGTTTCCTCCCTTTTACTCTAAGGTAACTCCACCAAAACCTGTGCAAGCACAACACTGTAAGATCAGTGTAACAGGTAGAGAACCCAAATGCAGGAAAAGGTGCAAGTCCTGAGTGCTGTCAGGAACAAGCCATCCCTGAGGGGACAGGCATGTGCTACATTAGGATGACTTCCTCAACATTATCCAGTGACCTGCATGGGTTATGATTAGGGTAATAAAATATTCTCTGCCTTTTAAAGCACAGTGAGTTCCAAGAATCCAGGAGAAGCCATAATGAAGAAAGCAAGGTATGACAAAACAGATTGTAACTGAAAATGGCAGTATACAATCATCAGGAACCTGCATTGTAAATGTAATATTTTTTATTACAAGAAACTGTAAAACATAAATAGGAAATGTACAAAGAACCAAGCTATAATTGCTGTAAATTACCTTTTGGATCTTCTAATTTTTCATTCAACCTTTCTTTGCATGATAGCTTTTCAATAGGTATAATTAAGTTCTCATCTGTAGACAAGGAAAATTAAAGGAAGAAAAAGACAGAAGAACAGAACTTCAGAAGAAGGGTATGAAGAATTAATTTAGGTGATGTAAAAGAAATGAGGAAGGAAAAAAGCAAGGAAGAATGAAGATCTGACACATTAGTAACTATAATGTCTTATGCTTGTTTTTTTAAGCAGAAAATGTTACTCCAAGAGGTTACTTCACAAGGTCCATCCAACAATGCAATTACATTCCATTTACAATTTTAAGGACTTGGTCATATCTTCAAAGTTGACTGATCATAAACATATAATCCTTCATAAATAAAGCATCTGTAACTATTTGCTCTTATCTTATTTTGCCTTAAAGCAATGATGTGGCTGATGAAAAAAAAAAAAACCCACTTAAATAAACTGTACATAGTTATTTAAACATAGCAATGTCAACTTTCAGACTGTCAATATGAAAAGAGAAAAGATATAGTTTACATTTCTGTGATCCATCTATCCTGGTTCCATGTGTTTCACGTGTGTCTTAAATGTTGCTGAAACACCACATGCAATTTAAGATACTGATGGAAATACCAGGTATTTTTAAACAAAAATTAATCAGTTTTAGTGCTTTACTTGGTAGTAAGACAAATGCAGGATTTCTACCATTAGCATTCATCCTAATTTTATCTTCATTGCAGTTCAGTAGGTAGATGTCTAGCCTATTGATGAAAACGTTTGGAAGCAGCTATTTGCTTTTCCGTGTCCGATTCCCTTGCAAGATTACTTATAAATAACTTACTTCTGAGGCACATGGATACTCTATTTCAGAAAACAAAAAAGATATACAAGATGATACAAAAAACCTCTTCTAATGCACAGAAAGCTCTGGTAGGTGCTGTTGTTTATCCACTTTCTAAAATCTTGCACATTAATTCAAATGAAAAACTTCAGCTTGCCTCACCTTCAGAGGGGAAAATTAGGTTTGTTGACACTGCAAAATGGCCACCAAAGTTCTATTGAAAAGGGGTGCAGCATCTGCATGTAAACAAACCTTCTGAAGTTCTTGCTGTACAAGCATGTAAAGTTGAGTGGTTTATTGGCACTAAAGTGTTTGGAGAGTGACTCGTGCTAGCTGGACAATGGTTGCAGAGTTGTTAACCAGGTAATCTCCCATAACAGGGACAGTATACCTGAGGTATAGGGCTTGATGGTGAGAAGACAGATTTCAGTCCAAAGTCTGATGTATTCCTCAGTGAAATCTTAGATAATCTAAGTGTTTACTAGTGCTGGACTTCAAGCTACAGAATGCTGGTAATAATATTCTTCACAAAACATAGTCTCACTGGAAGTTCCTTCCTAGAAACAAGGGAACTTTTCTTGCAGCAAAGAATTTAGGACAAAGCCAGTAAATGGATAAAAGACATGTCTAAAATATTAGGCAGCACTTTTATCACATGAGCATACCATCCCATACCATCCACCCTTTTGTTTTCATGGTTGAGACTGCTGTTTCATAGTGTTCCATGGCATAGGGAGCAGGCAGTAATGAGGCCAAACTACTTGCTTAAATACAGTAAAATAATAGTCTCAGTGCATTATATACAAAATTTATCTTGACAGAACTTTACAAATAGGGGCTGGTCTATACCTTCCTAATGTTTTGAAAGCAAAATACATCATATCTACATCATACATATGAAAAAGTTGGGTTTTTTAAGAGTCTTTCACTAAAACAAGAGGGAAAAAAAAGAGCCTAGAATCTAAGTTTAACTGCAGAAGTTGAACCGGATGGTCTTAACTAAATTGATTCAAATATGAGGAGATATAATGTGACCATTTTCAATCAACTTTTACCTGTAGTATTTCTCCTGTAAGTCAATCCTCCCCCAGCATTTGCCAGTGATTTAGCAAACAACTGGTTGTTCCAGGTTCCGTGTGATCCTTCTTTATTGACTGCTGCTAAAGAGACACTCTTTGGGTTTACACCTTAGAAAACAATTGACAGAAAGTGTTATAAATACCAAATCTCAACCTTAATTCAAACAATAAATGGCATTTCTAGAACAGAAAACCAACACTGAATTATTTGTCTTATAATGCAGAACACCATTAACGTAAATTAATGATGTCCATTCATTAGATTTTTAAGCCAGACCATGAAAAACAGTGACACTAATTTAAGAACAATTCTCTTCATGCTTTCAAGAGAACTTCTAAAAGACTGTTTAGTATAGGTACTTGGTTTCTCTAAAAGCATAATCTCATAATTGATATTTTTGTCTGTCAAGAAAGAACACACAAAATAAAAATACCTATCAAAAACTGGGGTTCCTAAGGCTGAAAAGAAACTATTTATTTGAGGATTAAGTTAAAAAGTAGGACAAAGGTTCTTGTTAGTTCAGCATGTTACAAGCATTATAAGAGTTAAAGGGATTACAACACATAAAGGCACCTCCCAGATCTAGTGGTTGCAGAAAACTAAAGTAATATGGATAAATAACAACTATGTTCCTTGGACATATTAGTCCCTTAAATTGAAAGTTGAAATTAATTATTTTTTACATCTATGCCTTTCTCATTGAAAATCACAGAGACATTAGAACTGTGCTTAATAAAATATAAGAAATACAGATGACTCTTACATTTGTCTTTCCTTTCCATAGGGAAGTTCCTCTCTCTTTATATTTTTATTTTTCTTTTGGACTTAAACTGTTGATTCTCTGAGCATCCTATTCAACATTCTAAAACTGATTTCATATTCAGAAGTCATCACTGCCCTAATGAGTTGCTGACGAAATTGATCATATGTATCAAAATGACTTGCCTAACAATGGGGAATTCCTCTGTGAGCCACCTAAATTCTCAAACGTGTATTACAGAAGTCATGACATGATTACTGTAATTGAACAAACCACAACAAAGATACTGAGACACCAAGAAAATAATTTGATTATAGAATATATTCAGAATACTAACTAGAGGAAACATTCTCTTTGCGATCTCCTTTCCATTCTCATCCCCAGTAATTAAATAATATCACATTATTTTCTTGACAAAATCACCCAGATTTAGACTAAGATATCTATTTCTAAAGAAAGATGACTACCTTGAGAAAGGAAGTGAGCGTGTGAGTTGCTACCAGTGCCAGTAGATAGATATTTCTAAACACTTTGTACAAGGAAGGGGACTGTGTTTACCAGAATTGTTATGTTCAGAAAATTCCAAACATCCTGACACTGCAAAATTGATAAATATGCACTATATAAAATAATAAAATCCTAGAATAGTTTGGGGTGGAAGAGACCTTAAAGATCATCTGGTTCCAATTGCCTGCCATGGGCAGGGACACCTTCCGCTAGACCAGGTTGCTCAGTGTTCCATTAAACCTGGCCTTGAACACTACCAGGGATGGGGCATCCACAGTTCCTCCAGACAATCTGTCCAATGCCTCACGACCCTCACAGTAAAGAGTTTCTTCTGTATATCTTTTCTAAATTTCCCCTCTTTCCATTTGAATCCATTGCTCCTAGTCCTATCACTACAGTCTTGAAGAAAAACATGTACACAGTTTCTTGAGTCCTCACATACACATGATTATAGATTGATCAGGCTACATTCCTAGTAATCCACGAGATGTTTGATTTATATTACTGAGGATTTTTTATGTCATGGGTCATAAGAGGGCCTGTGAACTTTTATAGTGTACAAGCATTGTTAAGGTCCTGCCACGTTTATATAGCCAGGAACTGCTGCATCAATTGTGATACCTTCTGGGAAAGGCATTTAGTCCAAAACCTGAAAATGTAGCTTGGTTAAGAAAATAAAATTATCCAATGAGAAATCTAAAGCTTAAATGTATTGTACGTACATTGTGCACATCTTGTATTTTCCAAATGTATTGACTTTTAACCTTACCAGGCAGATATCTTGATTGGTTTATATAATAATCTTTTGCTGATGTATTTGACCTTTCAGAATCATTTTTCATCACACTCTTGTTTTCCCCTCCTGGCTGGATACAGCATGAAGCTTTTGGTTCTGGCACACTGAAAAATCAAAATTTTCAAACCATGTGACAAACAACTCCAGCTCAGAATACCACAAGCTGACCTTAGCCTGAAGAATACAGAATACTTTGCTTATCCTACTTTTCTCAGTAGAGTCTGTTTCCACAAAGTAATAGTCAAACTGAACACCTCACAAGAGCCTGACCTGGGATTTGAAGAGAGAAATTTATCCAACACTATGGTTTAAAACTAAATGTGGCCAAATGGCAGAACATAGTACCTATTTAGCTGACAAATGAAAAATGTTAGTATGTCAAATTTTAGTAAAACAGTTTCTTAAATACACAACAAACACCTGAACCATATAGTCTGAAAACAAATTTGATTTTTTTTGGATATTACAAGCACTATAACAACATAACACCCAAAGCTGATCTGCTCATGCAATTCTTAGCATTCTTGCAGAATTTTGGTGACTTGAATTTTAATAGACTTGTCTTAAACAATCTACTTCTGGATAGTGTTTACTAAAAGAAATTGGGATTTTATAGTTTCAGGACCTACCTAAAAAGAAACTCCTTGTTTTTCTTTTCTTTCAACAGTGCAATGCTAGGCTTCTTTGAAGATGACATTCCAAGTTCAGGGTCATCCAAGTCATCCCAGCTATCCACAGCCTTTACCAAAGTCTGACCCCACCGTCTTCTGCAGTTTTTAGGACCTAGTACACCATTCAGAAGTCCACTAGCTGCCTGTTTCTATTTTAAATTTTAAAAAAAGAAGTTAAAATAATAATAAAAACACACTTGTATTAAATTCTAAAATGTTATATTTTATATCTAGTGTAACTCCTGACTACTGCATACAGACTTCGAGAGAATTTTTCACAGTGTGTTGTACCTGTTTTGGTCATAGTCTCATTATGACTTTAAGCACAGAACATAACAATAATGCCAGCATGTATTTGAAGTGTAGTTGTTTTGGACTGTCATTCTTGAATTGCTTAGTTCTACCTGAACTAATTAGGTTAACATTCTGTTTGCAAACCCAGTTCAGTGCTCAACCACTATTTTCTGGCATCTTGCTGAACTCATGCTCTGAACAGTGGTAGGTGAGCTGTCAAGAAATAGGGCACAATGGTGCAGAACACTGCTGTGCCCCTAAAGTAAATACAGCAAATAAACTTTTCTTTAACATTCTGCTCCAATGAAATTACTACATTTTAAGACTGTCCTTCTACTTATCATTTGCTCTCCAGTATTCTCTGAATACCTGTTGTTTTTAACATGCTTTGTATTGCAGTTCAGTGAGTACAAGTAGAAAGCAAAATGGAAGTTACAAACCAAAGTTTACTATTCATTTTCTTAAAAATCATAATTGCTAAATTCCTCCAAGGTTAGGAACTGGATGAACCTTTTTGGGTATTTTCCTGCATGAAGCAAGTGAAGTTCTCCCTTTCCAATTCTCTGTTGTGTACTGACAGTATTGTTGTGAACTGCTTCTTAAAGGTCAATAAGTAACAGCTTTTTCAACTCCATTACTGCATAAGCACATCATTGAGGGCTACTATATGAGGGCTGTTGTTACAAGCAATCTATTTTTCTGACTTGCTATAAAATAAGCAGACAGTTATAGCCTCACTTATTCACTATTTATCTATCTGTATCTCCTCTAATAAAACATATGACAATTTTCAAGGGATCACCTAGCTGAACGTAGTAATAATTTTTAATAAAACCGTCTATATACTTATTGAAGACAACTTACAGGTGATGAGTTTTTATTGATAATTGGAAAAAGTGGTTGTGCCTGTGGCTGCTGCTGCTTTGGTACTTGCTGGTTAGCTGTATTCTGAGGCAATTGAATTTGCTGGAGAGGCTGGTGGTTAACCTTTGGCAAGGGCTGTGGCTGTGTTTTGTCAGGTAAATCAGGCGAAGACAGAGGTTCTGGCTTAGCTTCCAGTTTAGGTAAAGATGGCTTTGGCTCTGTTGGCTGAACCAGTTTAACAGGAGTCTGCTTCTCCAGATACTGTGGGGGAGGTCCTAAAATTTGGCCAACTTGAAAGTAAGGGTACTTCAAAGCCTGCAGACGAAGATACAACACACTAATTTTAACTTCAAGAAGTTGACTTTGGTAACCTCATCAAGGATCTAAGTGGGTTTCTGAAACATTTGAGCAAGCTTTACAGAACAGATGAAAGATGGATGGGCAATGAAATCATATGTAAACTTGTATTGAGAACTGGCAGTTCTGCATTTCAAACTCTTCCCATCACATAACTCAATAAGACTAATCCACTTGTACATATGACAGCATTTTGTTCCCTTCTCTATTGCTAGGTGGAATCTGTATTTTGAGGTGCATTATATATTTAGCACCACTGTATATTTATGCAGTAACAAATTTCTGTTTTAAAAGAGGTAGTCCCCACTACCTTTAACACATGCTTTATTACATGCCTCCACTGCTGACTGTGTTTTGGCAATTCAGTGAATAGCCTGAGGTTTTTAAATTAAAAACGAAACAAAATAAAACCAACAACAACAACAAAAACCCCAGAAGTGAGATGGTTGCCATGTATGGGTTCTACAGTTATAGGATATTAATGAGCAAGGTTTCTCACCCATTTTTCTTATCACCAGCTTTTCCTTTTCTTTAAAATACATTCACTGCACCTGCTGTGCCTTCATGGTGTTTATTAAGAAAATACAGGATCTGTCTTAAGGCATATATTCATTTGATCCTTTCCATGTCCTCTGCTAGATGCAGAACATGGACACAGCTTAGTATGACACTTCCTCCTATATCAAAACAACCCACTCCGTTAATCCTTCTGGGCAAGATCCCACTCTTTGTTAGTTATGAAATACATGTTTTGCCTCAGCTGCACTCAAGAATGCCTGCCTTTGAACACACTGCCATGTATATACATTATACTCTTCCTTTTGACTGTGGATTACACAACTGCTGCAGCTGCTTCCTTGGTAACTCACCTGGGTACAAGCTGGTTATTTGCTTTTATAAAGCACCATGCAGTACTTTGTGTAGAGGTACATAGTACGGGACTACATATAGATCTCCATCACTGTACAATAGACATGCTTTATAAAGTGGAGAGGAATTGATGCTTTATTTGGTACCATCTGCTTAACTGCTTCTGAATCACACTACATCCACCTAGGGTAACTTGCAATATGTCCTTTCCCACTTGTATTCCTCTTTTATATGTTCTAAATAGGATTACATTAGGTATGAATAAAAAAAAATCCACAGAATGTAACCATCTTTGGTCCTAGAAATATGTTGTATGAAAATTAACTTGGAGAAAATTTGTGACCTTTGTGAGCTATTGGCACGTTCTTCACAAAGTTCTTTCTTTATCACTTCGTACAATTTACATTCCAAATAAAAATAAGCCTTAGCTCTTCCATACTGCATTCCATCTGTGGCTTCACAAAAAGCAAAGTTTTCAAACTTTTCAGTACCTCCCTTTGTATAGATGGTGAGGAAAACAAAAGTGGTGAAGTGATGACAGACACAATTGAAATATTTGCACCTCATCTATTCCTCTGTCCTGTATAGACAGTATTTTAAGATATGCCAGTACAGAAGACAACACTGCAGAAATAACTGAAGAGTTTCTGATGTCTGCTGAGCCAGATTTAGAACTTTCTTTTCTCACCACTTAGTCTCATTCCCACCAAAGTTTTCAAAATTAGGAGATGTTTGTAGCCATCACTATTATGACAATCAATTGGTCTCTGTATCTACAATTTTTTAACAATGCAAGAAAATTCAGTCTTATACTTAATCATTAATGTACTCAGACCTGACTTGCTGTAGGTCTCTTCTTTGGATTCCAGTTCAACATATCACTCATAAGCTGTATTGCTTCATTGCTTGCATTTGGGATGAGAGTTTTTAGGCTTATAGGGACACATTGTGGGAAACGGAAATTCATGGCAGAAGCAAGGTGGTATCCTTCTGTCCAGTCACTCTGTTTCAAAGGAAAGAAAAATCATCACCAAAAAAGAGCAAAGATGTATTTATATAAAATTTAATGCAGCTTGAGTCATGGTTGGTCTGCATGGCACCTTCCTGTATGGTTGAAAACAAGCATTCCTATTTTCCATGACAATTATTACAACACTAGTGAATGCAGGTCTCCAATGGCAGTCCTCCTAAGGTCTCCTGTAGCTAAAGGTGGAACCATCACCATGAATAACATACTTAGACACATTCTATCTGAAGGAGACCAGAGTACAAAAGAACCCGGAATGGTACTGAACATCCCATGAGCCCAGCAGCTGACTTCAACATGCCCTCTTTATGGAAATAGAAGTGAAGCCCTTCCATTCACCATGACACAGTTGTATAAGCATGATGCAGCCTATACACTATAGCACCGATCCCACCATTATGACAGTCAATAATTAAGTTACAACCAGACAGTATTGCAACATTAAAAAAACATGACCACCACCAGGTAAGAACTTTTTAAAAATGTGTTTAACTTTCCAAAAGTAAACCTTGAAGTCCTTTGTGCCTGATAATTGAATTCTTGGAATACAGAACTATAGGATTATCAACGACCTCAAGAGACCATTTACTCTACACCCTTGTCCCCTCCTGATAGGTATTAAGTCTCAAAAAGCTTCTGATTTCTGGCAATCTACAGCCAGACTATACAGATTACTCCAGAGAGTAACCTCCTCAAGATTAGGAAAATGGAGGTTTCTCGAATGAAGATGACCATGGTTGAGTATCTTATCATCCACAGATACCAAAAAGGACTATCTGATTCTTCCCTACAGAGTGGCCTCTTTATACATTGGAGGTATATTTATTTTCTTTTCTTCCAGTCTTTGTACAGGCTAAAGAAACCCAAACAATTCCTAGGGTCTAGGCTTTTAAAGTTTTTTTTCCTCTCTCGACTCTGATTTTTCTCTCGTGAAAGGATTATTCTAAACTGGATAGAATACAGCAAGTGAAACAGAAAGATTAGTTCACATGTTAATGGGCAATACTAACTTTTCTACAAACTGGTATGGTACTTGTCTTTAGACATACAATACACTAAATAGCTCCTATGGCCTCTTCTACAGAGGTGTTAGCTGGATGGTCATCTGCAGCTATTTATGTAGCTGGTTATTCCTGCCTAGGTACAGTATTCTGTGCACTACTGAAAAAAGTTTCTTTTAAGCTGCATCTCTAATTCTATACATAAAAACCTCCCTTCTACTCTTACTTTCTAACAAAATTCTTCTCCGCCTGCCATCTACTAGCTTAAGTAGTAAAATCTAATCTAGCAGACAGCCTTCAATACAATTTAAAAAATTTCATCAGAGGCACAACCACTCAAGTTCCATTCAAATAATCTTTTGAATAAGAGCCAGTGAAGCTTACTCTCTGGGTAACTCTTTCCAAACAGGTATGCTCTTATTATGCAATTTGCATAGAAATATGCTGCTGAGAATGTTATCAGGGACAGCATTAGAAACCCTGCTGAAGACAAGGTATAACATTTGTGCTCTTCCTCTCTCCACCAAGGTTATTGCATTGCTACAGGGCAAACTGGACTGATTTGATACAATTTGGTCTTAAGGTACCATGACAGCCATTATTCATCTTTTTATGTACAACAGCTTTAGCTCTGTTAGTACAGTCCATGGTAACTGATCTTCAGCTAATGAAAATGCATTTCATGAATCTCTGCTATTGAGGTTGCCATCAATTTTTCCATTAAATTCACATAGTACAAGTGCACCACCACTGCCAATACCTTAATAGTGCAATTTAATTTATAAAATAAATAAAGCAACTTAATTTATAAAATAAAACAAAATAGTTGCCTGCCACTATTTAGAACACCTACATTCACCAAAGTCATTGATATGTTGTTATGGACTTAAGTACAGGAAGGTAAACTGGAATGAAGATAGCTTCTGGGCATAATTCCTCTAATTCATTATTGCAGGATAACAGAATAAATGAAAATGCATGTCTGAAAAAAATATTTGTAAAACTACCTGCAAAATCAGACTATTAAAATAACTACTTATATTTTTCAGAATATAAGTGCTTGTTACAAATGCAGTATTTGTTGTGATAATTCCTATCATACTATTTAAGTACTCCTTTTACGCAACCATCTTCCTGAAGAATGCCTTGGCATTATCATAAGGAGAGAAAATTCCCGAGTCTGCCCAGCAGATGACAGGGGCACAAAGTAATTAATTACAGTTTTCTGATTCTAGAGGGCTGACTTACAATGTCCTTAACTCTTAGTGGCTTTAAGGGAGGCTACAATTTTTTCTAGATTATTCAGCTGGTAATGCTCTCTGTTTTCCCAGGCAATAAGCTTTCTAGTCAGGGAATGACAGACTAAACAGTCAGGATTTTTGTTAGCTCCTTGTAAGGTTAGAGAAAAAACACAACAATCACCTCATTGCTGCTCTGCTACTGCGCACAGTGAAAACCTCTCTCGGATATCCTTTCACTTCGGAGCTTGTTTAAGTTGTACATTGAAAATATTCCAGAAGCCAGCATGGTGCTGCCTTTAAGTCTTTTTGTACATCAAAATGTTCCTCTAACTAGCCTAGATTTGTGATCTACTTAAGAAAGTTCACATCTGCATTTGAAAACTCAAGTTTTAAAATACTGCTCCTATTTGCACATTATTTCCAAGGCACAACTCTGTCATGGCAAGCACTGTTTTACACATTATACCAATTTTCACTGAGTCCTCTTGACTCGATGTTCATTTCCACAACATATCATCTATAACTCTCCACCTGACCTTTTCCTCTTCGCTCTGTCATGAGTTTGCACCTGTTTCTCAGAATGTTCTCTTGGATGTTTTCCCACTACTTCAAGCTCTGCATGTTCCTAGCTAAGCTTAATCTATTTCTGTTTTAAGTTTTCTGTTCCTTACTTCTCTATTGCTAACAGCTCCTTTACTGGACAAGAATTATACTGTATTTTATATAAGCAGAATACTAATGAAACTGACGTTTCTCTCTCCACCCTTAGGCTGTTTAAATCTAGGTGGACTGTGTTTGGTCAGTTATTCCACGAAGTTCTATCTGCACTCATAAAATACTGATAGATACCTGCCATTTCTTACTTTAGTCAACAGAAATATTTAATAGCATATGGTCTTTTTTTTTTTCAGTTCATTAAAAAAAATAGAAGGTAACCTTATTCTTTTCTTGCATATTCTTCCATCCATTTACTAAAACAACTTTTAAACTGAATATAATTGCATCCATTTTTATATGCACTATCCAAACCTTCCTTGAAATTTTAAATAGGATTTAGCTCATCCAGAAAATAAGCAAAAAGAACTGTTTCTTCTCTAAAATACTTCATATCTTCCCTCAATTACTTTTTTATTGCTAATAATATTTACAAGACATCTGTGTTTGAGATGAAATGTTTCTTTTATGCTTTAAAAATAAGAAAGACATAATTTGTCTTATTTATGGTAACTTTTACAAATTCCAAATTCTGTGTGATAGCACAGAAGAATTACACTTTTGGGAAGGGAAAGCAAATTGACTCTGGTAAATTAAATCCTAAGAGACTTCTGAATTGCTTTCCATTATGAATAGCTTTAAATAACTAAATTAAACAATTTTATCTGGTTTTCATCAGAGGAAAGCAGGGCTTCATATACTAGTATTGATATACAGCAGATGTTAATATACAACAAAAGACTAGTATTACATGTCTTAATGGAAGCTGAAAAGCAATACAGTTGAGCAAACACTAAAGTCGCAGGAAACTTATTGAAATAATAATTCAATATGTATGTTCTGCCTTACCTTCTTTGGAGTCCCTAGGACTTGGCAAATTTTAAAGATTTCATCTACTTCACTTGTGCCTGGGAAAAGAGGTCTGAGTGTGTATAACTCAGCCATTATGCTACCAACTGCCCAAATATCAATAGGTGAGCTATAGACAGAAGATCTCAGCAAAACTTCAGGAGCACGGTACCTGTGAAGATAGAAGGAAATAATAAATAAGTTAAAATGGTCATAGGAGGATAATTAATTAAGCTAATGTATTAAATTCTTGATATACTTACCACCTGGTAGAAACATAATCTGTGTAAGGTGGCTGAGATCTTAGTTCTCTAGCCAACCCAAAATCTGCGATTTTCACAAGTTCTGGTCCACTACAGAGAAGGTTTTCAGGCTTCATATCCCTATGAAAAAATCCTGAAGACGACCGAACAGAAAATAATTGCAAATTATTACAGAATCACTTCTTAAGCAGCAATTTCTAATCAGACTAATCCAATATTTACTTTGGGATGTTTTGGAATAAGTAGTGGTTTTCAGTCTTTTTTCTTTTCTTTTTTTTTTTTTAATTCAATGTAAAATAATTGGAACCCTCCCCCAACAAATGCACACATTTTCCCTCCAGTGATTATTACACCAAGTGTTCTTAAATTAACAAATGCAAACTGTCGTTAGCACACTAAGGAAAATTAACTGGCTGGCAGCAAAATCAAATAATAAAACAGTTTCAGAAGGAAATTTTCTGCAAAAACTACAACTGCTCTGTCAGTTTTGGATCATGGAAAATTGAGCATCTGACACACAATTGATTCATAAAATTGCTTGAATGATTTTTAGCTAGTTATTTATCATTGTGACAATTTGGAGATACAGACGTATAAAGGATATCCAAATCCTGCCCAGAAATGCTAATATTAGTAATGCAGGCACATAAAGCTTCTTCAATGCTTGCTATTGGCTTGAGGATTTCTATACTTGGGCAGTGGTTAAGTCACTAAGCCAATTAATTTTGCTGTTTAATTGGAACACACAATTTGTTATGTTATCCATTAATTTGATTGAAATCCCCTTGCTAGAATAAAGCACTGATTTTCTGCATGCATAAATTGAAAGTGACTGTAAGAAATTGGCTGAAATTATTACAGTGAAATGTAAATGTTCAAATTTATCATACCTGGTTTTCCCTTATACACTTATGGTCAAATCAAGATATAAATATTGTAACTTAAAATTGAAAGTTTTTATTAAAATCTAATTTTATAATGTATTTTACAGAGAAATGAGGTACGAAAGGAGGATGCTAACAATCAGAGAACAGTATATATAAATAAAATGTCAATTTCTAATCATTAATAATACTGAATAAAACTAATTATTAATTTAATTCACCAACAGGCCTCTTCAGGGTACACTGGAAGCAAATCAAACCTTGCTAGGAACACTGATTCTAATTTTATTTTCAGCTAACATTTTATTGTCTTTGGAAAGTTTTAAAGATACCAATGTGATGTGAAGAACAACTACAAAATAAAAATGTTGAGCATGAGAGTAAATTACTATCTTTTTAAATGCAAAGGACTTTGATACCAGTATTTCTGAAAATAGTTCAAAGACAGGTATTAAACATGAACATTAGGAGTTTTGCAAACACTGTGAAAATTTTTATTGTTGTGAGCACACCTCACCTCTTATTTAGACTGTGCCTGTAATTCCTAGAAACACCCCACTTACTAAAATACTTAAATCCAGGTTGTATTTGACACTGTTTGAATTTCTCAGTGAACAAGTTATTTTAGTATTTTGCTATATGTAGAGTATCATGTTATAGTATCTCAACACAAAAGTATTGATGTATTAATGCTTCTCAATTAGATCTTTTTGAGGATGCAGAAGTGATTAGTACAGCAAAGAATACAAGTTTCTCTAGTTTGTTTATTCATCTGCTAACTAAAGTAGGAAAAAACTACTGTACAGGTTATGAACAACATCCAGTGCTTACCAAGAGAAAAAGGAACTTCAGGCAAAGTTTAAAACTGCACCACACTTGAACCAGGTAACCATGATTTTATCAGAGATGATTAATAGCCCTTGCTAGGTTATTTTATTCATGTTATTTCTGTGCATGATCTTATTTTCTAAAAAAAGTGCTACACAGTTAAACTCTAGTAGGAAACCTACCATGTTTGTGGATGAAAGCCAGTCCTTGCAATATCTGATACATCATGTTTCTGATGACTGACTCAGGAAAAAACTTGTTTCTGTGAAGAAACAGGGTAAAGACTTACATGATTAAGAAAAATAATGCGTCTTCAGAACATATGTGTTTCTTTATTTTGCCTAACACATCATGAACACATGAAAACAAACCCATCAAGTCAAAGTAAGGGAGATGCAACTCTCATGTCAAAATTCTATTGGGCCTGAATCGCAAGCACTTTAAGTGCAGCAACAGAACTTCTGTGCTGAGATTGCTCATGGTCTTATCTCACTGTAGAAGCTGGCTGGCCAGCAGTGTGCCTGACCAGGTGAATGTGGAATGCACAGTGCTGTAGCAAGGCAGAGATGGCACTCGTGGGTGCATTACCCAGTGGTGCCCTTAAGGGAGTCCTGATAAGAGCAATTCTGCTCAGCTGCAGAGTAACATTATGCTCATATCACCAGCAGCTACTTCAGGATGTCAAAGGGTTTGGCACATTAGGAAATACAAGCACATGACAAAGTCTGAAGGAAACTCACACCAAAGGCAAAACAATTAATCAAAATAAAATGTTACTGAAAAGGCAGGTCCTACTCCAAAGACCACCTTGCAGGCCTTGCTATGTACTGCTTGTCCAAGATTGCAACATCAGAGTTAGTCTACATTAGGCCATTCTTACAAAGATGCATGCACATACCATTCCCACCTTAAATCAAACCCATACGCAAAAGTAGCATGAACACTGTTCACCCAATTCTTCATACATTAAAATGAAGGCTAATGAAGTAAAAAAAAAAAAAAACAAAACCCACAACTATTTGGAATTTCTCTCATGGCTCTATACAAAGGTATGCAAACTCTCCTGTTAACAAGTGATCAAACTTATTTCCAAAAGCATTACAATATACAGTGTTGTAACAGAGCAATGCAGAACTCTACCCTCAGATAAGCTGGTGCAGCAATCCTGCTCACATCAATGGGGCTACAGAAATCCCAGTGTTCTTCAAAGCAGTATAAGAATCATTAAATAAAGCATGATAGCACTCTACTTTTCTGTGAAAAAAGGCATACCTATCCTTCATTAGCTGATAGAGATTTTCCTTCATGTACTCAAATACAAAGTAAAGGTGGTCATTTTCTCGTATGACTTCCTTCAATTTTATTACATTGGCATGGTTTAGCTTCTTCAGAGACTGCAACAGAGCAAAATACAGCTTCAGATACCCCACAGACTTTGATTCCTTACCAGAACAAAATTTTTAACATGTAAGTTTCTAGCACAACATATTCATATCATAACATATGATACCCCATTATTTATCTTGTAATCTGTTTTAAAGAACAATCTAGAAATTTGAATAAATTTCAAACTAAAAGCAACAACTGTATTAATAGTAGCTTAAACCTATTTCTAGGGATTACCTCAGAGCTGGAGCAAAGATTAGCACAAAAACCTAATTCCCTACAACAAAACACTAATCGGAAGCTGTAAGAGCTCTTGCTCACTGAACTGAGTAAGAAAACTTGCATTCTTTTTTTTTTTTTTCCCTTCCTTTTAGCATGAAACTTTCATGAAGAAGGATTCTCTTAGAGATATTCATTTTAGACATACTGATTTGTGTGAAATCTCCAATAAGTTAAATCAAAAACCCTTTAGTAGGGAGTTTTGTATATACAGAAAAATTAGACATCAAAACATGGAATTATTCAGAATTTATGACGAGGTTTTAAAGTGTTATTCTATCATTTGGCTAGCCAGTGATAGAAAACTCCCAGTGCTTTCTACAGATGCCTCAAATACAAGATATACAGAATGGATACACAGCTAGAAATCTGGAAGTGAAATGAAAGAGGAGGATGGTAAAACACAGAAATACACACATATTAAATCAATTTCTTCTCCTTTCTCAAAGGAGAAAGGAGGCTTGGCTATGAGATACGGCCACTGCTTGAGAATAGTGAGATATTCCACAAATCAGCAAGACCTCTAAGAGTGCCAGCACCCCATAGTTTTGTGAAAACTGTCAGCATTTAAGGAGTTCACAGAGTTTGGCCTCGCTTGGACACAGTAGCTGCCCTTTTCCTTCATGCAAGCCTAACTTATAAGTGCAAGCACTTATTTTTGAATGTGGAATGGTCACCATTTTACCTTGACTTCTCTCAAATTCATACATTCATCCCATGAATAGAACTTCCTTTTCATTCTGAAATAAAGTCCAAGATAAAGTATTTTCAGTGAACAGTACAGATTTTTTTTAGAATTAGAAAACCTAAATATTTCTAAGAATAGCATTATCTATATTTTCAACTCAATTTAAAACATTCTAGCACACCCATCAGCAATATAATTATAAACAAAGACAATGCTGAGAAATGCTTAATATTTCCCGTGATTAACCATCAAGCACTGAAACATATCTTTAGAAGAGTACAGCCAGAGACCATGTTACTCCATAGTAAAAGGGACATGAAATCTCTTTGTATCATTTGAATTGTGCTTTTAATAATAAAGTAAGCAACAATGACACTGTACATACAACACAGAAAATCACATCTTTATGCATAAGTTGCATATTCTAGGAAAACAAAAAAAATTAAATTTTTGAAATCTGCAAAGTATCTGGACTGCTTTCTATTATAATTAAGCATCTTACTTGATTGGTCATTTAAAAAATCTGTTCCAAGACATTAATTTAGGAAAAAAAAAGGTTTCATGTTTTTCAAGCAACATCATAGCCTCTAAACTAATTGTTATACATAGCAGTGTAACACGTTTATTTGTAAGTCCTGCATAAATCCAAATGTGGACATTTGGTGGTGCTCAGATCTTGGGGTGAAGTTGTGAATGTCATTGCTGTGTTTTGTAAAGTTTTAGCACCTAAAGTGAAGAGACTTAAACCCATAATTTTCATTTAAAATAAACTGTAGCCTCTCAAGTCCCAAGCTTAAAAATCACACAACAGAATTCCAAATCCTGAAATGACAAAATGAACCACTTCCCACAAAATGTTGTTCCTTTTGCTAAAAAGAACTAAAATAATTGGAGATTCTTTCTTTAGCTTAGAATAATATTAACTTCAGAAATAGTACCAGCAAGATATGGTGAAACATGAAATTCTCACAAATTCTTCAAGACAAAGTCAGTCTATTATATTACAATTATCTTACTGCAGTAGATCCATAAATGAGAGAAAAAAGTCTGAGCAAGTTACAATTTCTGATATTTCAATTTACACTTTATATCCTGCTCGCAATTCTCTAGGAATACAAGGGGAATTCCCCCATGCCTTGAGTAGAATTTTTCTTGTTTCGTAATCATCTTTTAAGGCAAATATGACAATACTCTTGATTACACGGAACACTATTAGAGCCAGGGAGACAGCCTTTATTTACCTGACCAGATTGTTACTGTTGTTTATCACTGTAGCAACACATTAAAATTAATGCAGTACTTATAAAGATTTGGGGGGGCTGGAATGGAATTTCAAATCTACCTGTTAAGATCGTTATTCCTGCAATTCATATAAATAAACTCCCTAACTAATCCTGTTCACTTCTGCATCTCCTTTGGTGCTGGCCTAACAACATTTTTAGAAGGAAGCATGTTCAAACTGAACAAAAGCAGCATGCAATTTTACAAGCCAACATAAATCAGTACATTAAACTGATGTGTCTCTCTGTTGATCTGTTACCAGAAATGTGACCCACAATCACTTTGTTAAACATCTTAATTAAAAAAAAAAAAAGTTAATTTCCTTTTAAAAGGTGACTTTTTTTAATTCTACACAAATGGAAGACAACAATAAAGTCAAAAGTGAAAATCTAAGATTTTGTAAGCACCTTTACTGCATTGAGATGCTACATACCTTTTGATAGCCACAAGTTCTCCTGACTCATTGCTCTTTCCCATCAACACGCTGCCATAGGTGCCATCACCCAGTTGTTTCATAATTGTGTAACGATTCATTTTTTTATGACTCGGACAGCCAAAAGCTTATGAAATGCTAAATGTCTTCTGTTTTATTAAAGGGTTCTGTGCTCTTTGATTTTCTTAAAAAAATCTTTTTCCAGACTATTTTATGTTGGTAAATGTTTCTCATAACTGAGCAGGATATTCAAGGCTCTCTTCCAAACTATAGCTGCTTTGAGATCCAGTTATGAAGAATGGGAGACAGAAGAACATAGTCATTCTCACAGATCCCTAAAAAAAAACAACAACAACAACAAAAAAAGATTAGGTAGTTCTACAGTATTTTAGTAAAGAGACACTCTAATATTTGTATCAAACAATACTTGTATCAAACTTGTATGATATTTGTATCAAACAATAACACCCTCCAGAACCACACTTGCTTTTTAAATGCATGTAAACGTAATTAGCGCCTTTAAATTTTTCAAACTGCAGAAGAAGGTGCCTACTGCACAATTATGGTTGGAGTAAGCAGAAACTGGAGAGTCAAGGTTACTGTCATAATTCCCTAGAACCAGCAAAGCATTTTTAAAGCTGGTGTATTCTGATAGAAGCCCTTACTCTGAATTTGTAGATAGCAGCAGCTTCCTGAACTATTACAAAGGCACGGTTGAAGTTCTGGAAAACATAAGGACAGAAATTTTGAACAGGGTACCACAGCAAACTTAGGGTCTGAATACTGTGTTTTGGAAAGGTAATGCAAGCAGGCTTCCTGTGCTTAAAAGTTAGTGAGGAAGGGAGGTGGAGCAGCAAGATAACCACTGCATTCTTCACCCACATAGACATGTTATAAATGGGCATCTTGCTCTGAAGCTCACACAATTCCTAGGCATGGTGATGGCTGAACAGTTAAGTTTATTTTTCAGCTTTACAAGGCCTACAGAGAGAAGCATAGAGCTTACATGCACTGTTATAGAAGACTAAATATAAACTATCATTTAGAAATTAATCCATGTTGAACAATATTGAATCACCATATCTGAATCCATGCAAACATTAATTTAAATGCAATCCAAGTTTGAATCTGAACCCCAGCTTCCATTACACACAATACTATCTGTCCCCAGTGCTCCAGATGAAGGTCAGTTGCCTGATGTTAAACACTTATATAAACTCACAAGAATCACTCAGTTATTTATGCAGGACTAGGAAAAACAAACCACCTCTCATTGTACCATTTACTCACTGTAACTCAAATCCTAATACACAAACTGAATGTTAACTGAATATTAGCATACAAAAACTCAAGAACAATATATATATAAAATAAAATTCAAAACAATGAAAACACACCATCAGTCTACCTTTATAGGAGATTGAGAACTTAGCAGGCAACTCTCTAGTCCTTATCCTTATGCCAAAATTAGCTACAGTCTGGTCTGTTCAAACAGATTAAGAAACTCTGATTCAGCTGATAACAAGACTCAGGCTTGAGATTTATAGGCTTGGCAAAATAACAATAATATTGGCCTTTCAAGGAGTGTGAAATATACATTCTCAAGCAGACTAGCCTGCTGGGTAAAGGAAAGAGCTGCCTGGACAATAGACCAATGTTTCTAAGCTCTTCTTAGTTGAAATGCTGCTTCCTCTAAGTTGTAACACAGAGTGTTATTCCCTGTTGCTTCTGTTGGCAGGAAAGAATCTCACATCACCTGTGTCAAGATACCAGTGGCCTAGTGGACATCTCCATTTATAATCTTTGCACCGGGCAACCTTCATTTTGTTAGGCAATAATTTTTTTTCTACACCCATCTACACTTCCCCTCCCCTAAAGCCACAGCTATAGTGAAATAAGATTCTGGTTAATAGCATATTCTGAAACTAAGATGAAAATCAGATTTAACAAAAAGTAACACAGACGTCTCAAATTATGATGAAATTTTAAATTGCACTTTCATATATTTAAGCAAATTGTTTTTCTCAGAGTTTAGTTTCATATCTTATTCCCCAGAATGCCTGCATGCACTCTAGTCTTTAATACCATCAATAATGCCTTTTTCCAACAAGGCTATTTGTTCACTCTGGTAATAAACAGATGATCAAGTGTACTTATTCCAAGCTAAGAGACATTCTGCATACACATCTTGCAAGTTGTCAATGGTTAGCTCTATGTATATATTAAAAAAACAAACCAAGACAAAAACCTTGAGGGTATTCTTATACCCATTTTAAAACACAGCATCACATCTAAAGTGTCAACAATGATAAACTGTGTATACATTTTCTGTATAGGTGTACACAGGCATATCATATGAAGTGAAATGTAACAAGTTTTGTGTGCTTGTGTTTCTGTTTCAGCTAATTGTGCATTGTTTAAGGTATGGGGTTTTTTTTGAGGGGATTCAGCAATATCTGCTACAGATGGCCCTAGCTTGAACTCCTAGTTACATTAAGAAGTTGGAGGTTTTGCATGCATTTCATGCTCAAGTTTTTGCTCTCTAACAAAGTGTACAAAAAACACCATGAGAAAAACTTGTATTTGCAATAAACAGAACAAGATCTAGACACAACCTCAAGTTTTGACCCTTAAATCCTCTAATTTTGGTGCCTAAATCCTATCAGCTTTCCAAGTAATTTTCATTGGACTATATATTAATCACATGCTTTTACAATTACTCCTTCTGTCCAATTCTAGTATTTTGGCATGTGCAATCAAAACAACCTCACATAACGTGCTCCTTCCTTCCAGAAATTCTATGTAATACAATACATCACAGACCAAATTATTCATTTTGTCTATTCTGTAATATATTTTATCGTCTTACTCCTTTTCTGCTGTATACTTTAATTTTTAGGGTATGAAAACCCCTGATCAAGTAAAGTACAGAAAAGTCAGTGCATTCCTTCAATTATCAAGTGGAAGTGTCAAATCCACTCCATAGAAATGCACAAAACAAGGTGTGAAAGCCACATACCCTGATAACAATATCTGTGTACCATCACACCTACCCCACACTGACATGTTTTGGAATTACAGAACATGATGATTAGAACATAAATGCTCCAGAGATTCACATTTCACTACAACAGACTTCTGCATACTTTGTAATTTTCACCACTCATATGCAGCTCAGGTGTGCAATTTTTTCCTCAGTGGTCTATCTGTATTTTCTTTTTCAAATCTGCAGTCAAATTTTGTCTTTTGTACCAACCTGAAGAAAAACAAGGGCCTAATCTAGCTTTTCTGGTTAAAACATGCCTTTGGAGTGACCTTTTCCATACTAATGTGATAATATCATACTAATATGATATTATTTCCTTAGTGATGTAAAGCTCTAAAATGTAAAATTGTCATAACAGGTACCAAACAGACAAGAGAAATCCTAGTCTAAACAACAGCTTGTTGTTACTCTTAATGACATACTGCACATAATCTCTTTACACACGATTAAGGAAAGATTAAAGCCAGGGACAAATAGAGGACGAAACAAAATAGCTTGACAGAATCTTTAATTTGTGTAAATTAAGTGAACCTGAACAAGTACTAGAGAATCAAAACAAATCATCACTTTTACTGTATTACTGGTGTCTTAAGCACTAGCAGCCATTTTATATTATTTCAGATATCTGAATTACATTTCAAAATGTAATGAATAGCAACAAATCACCTACATTTCTTATATACAAATACTAGGCTTTACCAAAAGTTCTACATTTGCATCCTAAACACACTACTCTCAAATAATTAGAAACTAGGATATATGACCCAATAAGACCTCCCTTTGCAGAGAAGCAAAACACCAACAACCAAGTTTTACCAACCTGTTTACAGTACCTGATGAAATCACCAAAACTGTTTGCGTGGCACAGTACTGTTCTCAATGATCAGAACTGCTGTATTGCACAGCACAGAATGTATGCTGATGCTGATTTTAAAAGTTAAAAAAAACCCCAAAAAACAAAGCCAAACCACAAAACAACAAACAAATTTTGCTACAAGAATCTTCTCGGAAGTGCATGCATATTACTAAAGCTGCCAGTAATCAGGTCCCATGACAGGTGGATCCAGTTCTTGAGATTGACCTCAAATCCATTACTCTAATCAAATACCAGCAGTTATTTAAAAGCATGACACAGCTTCAAGAAAGAAGTCAGTAACACTGACAATAAATACTGGTGCTTTGAAACAGACTGCCTTAATTTTTTTAAACTCCTTTTAAAAATCTAATATATTGTTCCACTTGTGTGTATCAGGCATTTAGGATGGGGCATATCAACTTAAGAACTCCAGTACGCCCTAAGTATTTTTGCCTATTTTGTTCCAAACTAGCTTTGGTTTCAAACCAAAATTATTCCCACCAATTTTTTCAGCAGATTACCACTAAGCCAGCGATGCTACCACTTCCTACCCACATGAAAACCCCTCCCACAACACAGTACAGCAAGTTTCAGGATAATAGTGGTTTCAGTGCTGCTGGAACTTCAAGTCTCCGGTTTTGGGCAGTGTCCAGAAGGAACATGAACCACTCAACTTTCTGCATCTGCACTACTTAAGTTTCAATAAAAAACAGAATTGTTATGGTTGGAAGGGTCCTCTGGAGATCATCTAACCCAAAGCCCCTGACAAGGCAGGATAACCTAGAGCCGGTGACACAGGAACACGTCCAGGAGGGTTTGGAATGTCTGCAGAGAGGGAGACCCCACAATCTTCCTGGGCAGCCTGTTCAGTGCTCTGCCACCCTCAATGTAAAGAAGTTCTTCCTCATGTTGAGGTGGAACTTCCTGTGTTTCAATTTATGGCCATTGCTCCTCATCCTGTTGCTGGGCACCACTGAAAAGACTCTGGCACTATCCTCTTGGCACCTGCCTGTGAGATAGTTTTACCCACTAATGAGAACCCCTCTCAGTTTTAAGAATGGAAACAAATGCTTGTTTCCACTTCATTTCCACCTGGTGACATTCAGTCGCCTCCCAAGTGTGCACAAATACCTTCCTTAGCACTCGCAGCGCCAAGGACAGCACGGCGCTGCCGCCGCTCGCTGCGAAACTCGGCACCGCCCGGCCCGCCGGTTTCACCCCTGTACTCCTAAATAAAGCTGCACCTGCTCCCATTCACCGCGGACCTCTCCGGCCGCCGAGGCCCGGCTCTATCGCACCGCAGCCAAAGCAGGCAGGGTTCCTGTCCCCGCAGGCTCCGCACCCAGCGGCGCTGCCGCCCCAGAGCCCAGCACGGCCGCGGGCAGCTCCCACACACAGCGCGCCGCCCGCCCGAGCCACGCCGGGGCCGGCAGCAGCGCTCCCCTTCAGAACCGCTCCAGCCCGAACCAGCACCTCCTCCCTGCCGGGGGACCCCAGACAGGCCTGGCCCAGCCCCGGGGCTCGGCCCGAGGGGGACTCGCCGCCGTCCCCGCCGCCCCTCACTCACCGCGGCGCTGCGGGCGCAGCCAGCCCGACGCCGCCGCGCCCCCGGCCCGCCCGCCGCCTCCTCGGCCGGGCCGCGCTGCCCCGTCACCGGGGCGACGGGCGCGGGCCCGGGCTGGGGCGGGCCCGGGCTGGGGCGGGCCCCCGCCGGCACCGCCCCGGCACCGCCCCGGCACCGCCCCGGCACCGCCCCGGCACCGCCCCGGCACCGCCCCGGCACCGCCCGCCGGCCGCGGGCACGGCCGCCCGGGTGTCCCCCGGGAGCGCAGGAGCCGGGAGCGGCCGGGGAGCAGCTCTGAGGGGAGCGGGGACAGCGCCCCGTTGGAAAGGGAGTTGTGCGCAGCGGAGCTGAGCCTGATGGCAGGGGCCACGTCACAAGTTCGCTGGAGGTGGCCCCATGATCGTCTTCAGACAGTCCTTATTATAATTACTGCTAATAGTAATTATATATTGAATGTGTATTTGGTGCTCTGGTGAGACCCCCCCCACCTGCAGTGCTGCATCCAGCTCTGGGGTCCCCAGCGCAGGAAGGACATGGACCTGCTGGAAGGAGTCCAAAGCTGGATGCTCTGTGATGCTCAGAGCGCTGGAGCCCCTCTCCTATGAAACCAGGCTGTAAGAGTGGAAGCTGTTCAGCTTGGAGAAGAGAAGGCTCTAGGCTGACCTTAGGACCATCCAGGACCTAATGGGAGCTTTCAGGAGAGACGGATAGAGTCTATTTACAAGAGCCTGGACAAAGGGAAATGGCTTCAAATTGAAAGTGATTAGATATTAGGGGAAAACTCTTTACTTTGATGCTGGTGAGGCACTGGACAACTGGTCCAGTGAGTTGTGGATACCCCATCCCTGGAGGTGTTCAAAGCCAGGTTGAATGGGACTCTGAGCATCCTGGAAAATGCTCATAGTGGAAAGTGTCCCTGCCCATGGCAAGGGGGTTGGAACTGGGTGATCTTCAAGATCCCCTTACAGTCCAAACCATTATATGATCATATGAAATAAAGCTACTAGCTAAGCCACAGTGTATTTAGGATTTGTACAGAAATTACCACTTGTAATATTCACAGCTGTAGTGAAACCTGAGGGATTTTTTCTCCCGTAGCATTTTAAAAAATTATTTATTGTAAGCAATTTATTAAATTGCAAGTTGCTAACACTGAGGCAGATGAGAAATTTTGAGTGCTCTGTGCATTCTAAAATATATGTATTTCTATTACAAAAAAAATAATGAACTTTCTCCTTGGTTCTTTGGAATCTTGCATTTCTCCAGGGTGTACAGAATGCACAGTTAATAAAAATGGGATATTTAGTGTCTGACCCGGAGGTGCTTTTGGCAGGGAAATCTCATTTTAAGCTTCAGTTCTCAGCATTAGCTTGAGCTTTCTATATTTTAATGTTTTTGAGAGTGAAGGGCAAGAAAAGGAGGAGATCATTTTAATACAATAACTACTAGAAGCACTATGGAGGGAAAGGCAGAAAATTGTTTTAGAAATTCAGATTCCTATCCGCTTCACCACGCTGGCAGTTCAGGCTTGCTGAGCAAAAATGGGAAGCTGTCTTCATTTTACCTCTTTTTTTCTCCCCCCTCCCTGTTCCTCGTTAATTGGCATGGTAACTTTGTGATGGTTTAAGAACTGTTGACAGATTAATTGATTCTACCTCAAGTCAACTGGGTGGAACGTGGGGCTATGGGAATTGGTTTTCTGGAATTCAAAGGATTTGACCACTTGCACATAATTTGATGAAATGAAAGTACAAGAAAACAACATTATATTTTCTGAAACAAAATATGCCTGTTTCCTTTACTGAAATAAAACATCAGAGGTGACTGCCGGGTGACTGCCAGGTAAAATAAAGTTCAGAGGTGAGACTTGGACATGAGAAGGAAGAAAGTACCATAACCCACACAGCAGAATTCAAGCAGAGGTTCAGCAGGAGCTGACTGTATGTAGCAAAGAATTTAACCATTCATTAACCTCTAAGAATATGTTTGATCACTACTACATGGATACACCCCTACCTTAAATATGTGAAAACACCTCTCCACTGTCAGTGGAAATGATGCAGCAGTTGCCCTGTGATGTCTCCTCCCTGCTCTTGTGTCCTTTCCTCTCTCGACAGTTTAGCCACATCCCATGACTGTCCTTTCCCAGTGATGGGCTCTGTCCTCTTCCTCTGGTGCTGCCACTCAGTTTCGTAAGATCACAGAATGGTTTGGGCTGGAATGAACCTTATAAATCATCTAGTCCCAACCTCCCTGCCATGGTCAGGGACACCTTCCACAGGACCAGGTGTCTCAAAGCCTGATCCAAACCTGGCCTTGAACACTTCCAGGGCATCTATAGCTTTTCTAGGCAAACTGTCCAGTGCCTGACCACCCTCACAGTAAAGAATTTCTGCCTAATATCTAATCTAAACCCACCCTGTCTCAGTGCACAGCCATTTCCCCTTGTCCTATCCCTACATACCCATATAAAAGTCCTTCTCCAGGTCTCTTGCAAGCCCCCATTAGGTACTGGAAGGATGCTACAAGGTCAGCCTAGAGCCCCTTTTTCTCCAGGCTGAACAACCCCAGCTCTCTCAGCCTGTCTTCATAGGAGATGTGCTCCAGTCCTTTGAGTATTTTCGTGGCCTCCTCTGGCCTTGCTCCATCAGGTCCATGTCTTTCTCATGTTGGGGGCCCAGAGCTGGATGCAGCACTGCAGGTGGGGTCTCACCAGAGCAGGGCAGAGGGGCAGAATCACCTCCCCAAAGCCTGCTGGCCACGCTGCTTTGGATGCAGCCCAGGACACATTTGGCTTTCTGGGCTGCAGGCACACACTGCTGGGTCATGCTGAGCAACAAACACAACCACCAAGTCCTTCTCCTCAGGGCTACTCGCACTTCATTTTCCCCCAGCCCATATTTATCCTCGGGGCTGCCCAAACCCACAAGCAAGACCTTGCATTTGTCCTTGTTGAACTCCATGAAGTTTGCACAGTCCCATCTCTCCAGCCTGTCCAGGTCCTTCTGGATGTCATCCCTTCCCTCCAGTGTGCTGACTGCACCACACAGTTTGATGTCATCATCAGCCATGCTGTGGGTACATTCAATCCCACTGTCCATGTTGCTGAACAAGATGAAAATGTTCTTGGCTGCCTGTGGGACATTTTCAGTCTAATTACAGTCACTTATAAGAGATCTGGCATAAGCAAGGGGTTGATGTTTAAATAATTTATGTATTAGTTTTGCACAAGAGAAATATTTAAGTCTAAATTCTGTTACCAGGACCTCATGTCTGTTGTCCCCAAAATTTCACACATGTGAAGGCAGAAAGGCTATAGACAGGACTTGTCAGTGTTTGACAGAGACTGTAATATGATGTGGAGTTGCAGTACAAGCACTGCAAGCCACTCACTTAACACTTCATTTTGTCATAAAGACAGGACACAGATGCTGTCCTGTGCTCTTGCTATGAACCAGGAAGCTGAAGGCAACAGGGTGGAACAGAGACCCAGGATGTTTGTGAGACCTGCTAAAGGACCTCTGAGAACATCCTTATACACCTGCTTCTCTGCTTATTTTACAAAACAACACACACAAACTCACTGGTGATTTTCTGTTGAAAGAACCTTCTTTGGTTGTGGTCCTTGAAAGTGTTGATGCTCAAGTGCCAGCCAAAATACCTGAAACTACCTTCTCCCAAACACCATCACAAGTACCAGCATGCATACTGAAGCTTACAGGGATTGTGTGAAATTAATTTTTCTGTTTGTTTGAATAAGGTTGAGCCAAACTAGGTATGTTTCCCTGTGATACTTACTTGCACCTGTGTCATCCCACTGATCTTTGTGTCTCATGCACAGGACTCTTGCAAACCTGGAGAGGTGCTGTGCTGAAATGAACTTTCCATTTTGCACAATCCCAGGTGCAGCACTACATAAACACTATCTGGTTCACCTTCCCTTTGCTCCTAAGTGACAGACAGGTATTTAGCTTCAAGCAGCTAGAACACCAAAGGCAGTAATCCAGGCATGGATAACCCCTGTGCACCACTCTCATTATTTCTCAGGCACAGGGATTTTAACAGGCCTGGATTAACTTCACTCTGTGTATTGAGAGGAACCACTCCAAACTAAATGCCTTAGTTCTCCCCTTTTTGTCTGCATTTGACTTAAACTGATAAGGGTGGGAATGACATGAACTTCACTAAATGCAAACACTCTGTCTTTAAAGTGTTAATTTTTATTCCCGGATGAAGAGATCAGCTACTTCAGGCTCAATAAGCCCAAAACAGCCAAGTTTCTGCATGCCTTATTTGTAGCATTTAGCACATTTGAAAAGCCCAGAAATAACCTGGTTTCAGAAGAGCAAGGACTAAGCAGATTGCTTGGACTCTCTCAGGAGTTCTTCAGCAGGACTGGGTGGATACAGGTGGTCATAGGGCAGGACAGTCTGCCAGGCTCTTTCTGCCCTCCATGATGTGATGCCCACAGGTATTTGCATCTGTCAGGTGTGTGACACATGGCTACATTTCGTGGGTACAGGAGTGAAAAACATTGTCACAGGGCCTCTTGGCTCTGGGAGGCATCTGCTCAACACTTGGGCTTTTAACCTTTGCCGTTGTGTGGCTGCCATTTTGGTACAAAGGGCATCCTCAGCATGGGGACAAGTGGTGCTTTACTCAGCAGGGCACTTGTAACCCATTTGAAGCCAGAGCCACAGGAGACTGACATTTGAAAGCACCTTCTCCTCCGCTCCGTGATTGTGCCATAACAGCTGGAGTTTGTTAGATGAAGATGCCTGTCAGAGTAGAGGGCACAGGCTGGTGAAGGGCTCCTCTCAGGTGCTCAATGCAGGACCAAAAACCACATTTGAAAAGGACGAGTAATGGAAGAGAAGATGCTTACTGAGGGACCATCTTGCTTCAGGATGCTGCTTTGCCTGAGGAACATGCTTTTAAAGTCAATGCTGCAGCTGTATAAACCTACAATGAGGCTTTCAATTTCAGCTTTTTTTTCTTTCTTTTGTTACAGAAGCTCCCATTGCCTTTACATTTATGTATTTTGAAGAGAAAACCTGTATGCAGCTCTAGACTTTTTCCATCTGATTTTTTATCTCTAAAAGGTAACATACAGCTAATCTCATCATAGACACTTGTACATGAGCGGAATCAAGGTGAAGAAAGAACATGATAATCTTTAGAGTGGTTTTATTTGTTGTACTGCTTAGATGATGCAGCAAGGTAACCACCACTATGCTTTCCACTGTGCTTAAACAGCTGTGATGTTTATTATAAATATATCCACACACTAAAAGTAGCATCTTAACACAATTGGCTGCATTTTCTTTACTGGTGTACAAAGTACTCCTTTAAAGGATATGTTAAATTGGACAGCATAATGATTTAAGCATACAACTACAATGACAAGTTTAATACCTGTAATGTAAACAGCATGCAACCCCCACAGCTTGTCTGTTTGAATAGCTAGTACTATTTTAATAACTTCTACTTGAGTTGTGGTTGGCTAACTCCTCTAAAATCACTATAAAATATAGCAATTTACGGCTTTAATATTTTCCTTTATTTTCCCACCTGCAGTGAATCTTTCCAGCTTTTCTAGTCATTTTGTTTTGCCTTATTCCCCTCTTATACATTTTTTCCCTTTAAACCTACATGGCTGTAAGCCTTGATTATTATTCAACATGTTAAATGCCTCAATATGATTTGGCATGCAGCCGAGAAATCTCAGTTCTGTAAACAGGCATAGTGTTATATATTTATAAACTCTAAAATTTTGCATTAGTCTTTCTGCATAGTAACTCACAAACCACCTTTTTTTTTTTCTTTTTTAAAGGGTTAAAAGTATGTGGGCTAATTATCAAATTGATGTTGTTCACCTGAATCTCTTCTGATCAGTAATTTAAAACACTTGGTAGAAGAATCACCATAAGAGTTTCACAGAAGCCAAGGGAGATACACAGAAAGTACACTAGAGCTAAAAGACAAGGTAAGCTTGCTGTAGATGAATCAGTCTAGTCTTTTTGTGAATTCTATCTTTGCCTGGCTTGAATTTTTGAAATGCTGAACAATCCACTGCTGAAACAGATTGCTATTAACTAAATTTCTGTGGGTCTCAGTTTCACATCTCAGACTGAACACATTGTTTTTCATAAAAATATAAAGAGAAAGAAAATATACTACATCAGTAATAACTATTTTTAAACTTCAGATATTTGTATGCTGTTCTTTGAAGATACAATTTGTTTACCAGTTTAATGGTAGCTTCAGTGCACAGAACCTTATAATTCTAACTAGCCAGCTGCTCACATTGCTTTACGTGGTGCCTTGCTTTTAACTGTGATTTTACATTTATTGAAAGACTACAGTAGTATGGTACTTCTCAAAATGCAGCAAAAATACACACAAGACAGAGGTAAAAAAGAAAAGTGTTCAAAAAGTTAAAGGTACTTGGTAACTCAATAATAATGACACCAAAAGAAGTTTTTTTTTACCCTGAGCAACCCTTGTGTCTACTTAGCTCCCTTGCTTGGCACACACATTTTGAGTAAGGCTTCTATTCCCCAGTACTATGTGGCTTTCAAAATATCTTTAGTTTTAAACCAGAACTGCTCATTTTTTTTTTCTTCTTTCCAGATTAAAGAAGAATTAGTTGTTTTAGGGATGAATTTGAGAATGTATTTCTTTATGTTTTATTAGCTCAGTTTGGAGATTTTGTTCTGTAACCTCTCTGTTGCCTGGTTGTTTAATTTCTGAAGTAGTGCTGTCATGGGGAGCTATGTTTACAGAGAGAAAAATTGCTACAAGTCCCTTGGGAGAGGGAGAAATACCTGATGGAGTGCAGAGAGGGAGCCAGGAAAGGTTCATTTAACACTGACCTGTACTAAGAAGCTGAGATGTTGAATTCTTAAACAGGACGAGTTGTATTCATGGGTAAAGAGAACTCTGCACCAGTAACCAATTGGTCTGACTGGCTTACCAGGCCTTGTAAAACAAAAGCCAGTTTGACTGTAAATGGTTTTTAGGGTCACTCTATGTTAACTCTGGCAGTCATGTGATGCTGAGCATGTTTGGTGGGGGTCGCCTGAGCCTTTCTGCCTCCAGGCTGAGTGTTACAAGGCATCAGTTCCTGGTGTAGCTGTGCTGGGTTGTCCTTCTTACATAGAAAGGCGGGGCTGTCTCTGCTTTGATACAGAGGATCAAAAAGCAACATGAATTTAGCGTGTTTCATTTCTCAGGATTCAGGTTTTTAATTTCTTATTTCAGAGGAACTTAGCTGAACTTTCCATTCATCAAAAGGATTGTGGCAAGTGAATTATTCTGAAAATTGTCTTGCTTTTCATATTTCTGTTATTTCTTTATTTCCCTGCCATTTCTTTCAGTTGACTATAATCTATAGCCACCTTCCTTCATTTTTTCCCGTTACCTGATTAGTCTTTTCTTTCCTACAGATAGAGCATTTTCTCTCAAAGCTTGAGGCAGGAGTTGTAGCTATAAGTGGATTGCACTTGCTGTCAGAGGAGGCTGTTGACTTCCAGAGGAGCTGTGTTTCCACGTTACCTTTGTTTTGGGCTCAGTTCTTTGTGCCATTTTAGAGATTGTGTGGGGTTTCTTTGAAATGGGATGCAAAATATAATTCACTCAGCACACAGATCCAGAAAGGCGCTTTTGGGAAAAAGCTTATCTTGATGTTCTGCTTCCTTACATCTCCTCAAACCCCAAACCACTTGGCTTAGTACTCACATACTCAGCAGAATGATCTATTCTCCCATCAGTGGGTATTTGCCATTTAGGCACCATTTAGTCAATATTCAGCACTCTCAAACCTTAGGGCCTGGCCTTCATGCTCAGCAAAGCTGTTCCCCAGAGGGAGCCCATACCGATAGCTCTCCACACTCTCAGCTGGTTTGGATTTTGTGGGGATGGAGTCATGCTGGTAGAGCAAAGCTGACTTTATCATTCCAAAGTCTTCCTGAATCTTCATCCCTGAATAGACAGCACCCGAGATGTTTTCTGCCACGTGGGTGTAGCTCTGGAGGTTTTTCACGTCACAGAGGTTGTCACTGTATTTCAGTGCGGGTGGCTTGTAGGCCTGGTAGGACACCTTGGTGGTGGTGGTGATGACTGTCTGCAGTGGTGGGGCCATGGGAGCGGGGCTGGGGCTGTACCTGCAGGGATAGTCCCCACTGCAGTAAGGGTGGGGAGCACTTGTTGCCATCTGCCCGTAGTCGCTCCGGTCTCCGATGCTGGTTTTCCCCCACGCTGGTTTCAGTCCGTAATGTCTGCCAGGGTTATCAAAGCTCTTATCATGGGAGGTCACAGCGTTGTAGTGAGACCCATTCAGACTGAGGGGGTCTGCATCAATGGCAGGACTGGGCAGATCCTTGTAAAATGTCGGGTAAGGACTTGAGCTTATAAAGGTAGGAACTCCAAACTCATAACTGCATGGCATGGGCATGTAGATCCTTGGATTTGGGCATTTAGGAGGGTATGGCGATAGCTGGTCCTCTTGGAAGCTGGCTGAGTCATAAGGTGCCTTGTAGAGGTCTGTGTTCTGCAGTGAAGGGTAAGACTGGGCTGGAACTGAAAAATTGGTGTCTGTGAAGATGCCGACTCTTTCTGGGCCATCCATGCAGTGAAAATTCTGTAGGTTATTGGTGTAACCGCTGCTGTCAGGGTACCTTCCTGCCTGTCAAGGAGAAGTAGATCTTTAAGATACAGGAATCAATACTGCCCAAACACATAAGTCTCAATACTTGTGCTATTTCTGGTTTCAGCTCCAAATTAACAGATTTGTTATTAATACATGTTAATAGCATGGTGTAAAGCTTTGTTTTGCCCTGGGATTCCCAATACATACTTACCACATCTTTCTAATTGACAAAAAAAGTCTTCATTTTTGTCACCTTTTTATTTAATTAATGATTTTGATTTACCTCTGAATTTACAGTTCTCTTTTTCTGGGAGTGGTGATAAGAGGACATTTGCTTCTTAATTGCACTTCTTCTTGCCTCTGCCTCCAGTTTACTCTCCGGCCGGGGGTGGTCATGGACTCCTTTAGCCTAAATTAGGGTTAACTGAAAATTAGATGTGAACCTGGAAGGGGGTAAGATTAGAGAAAATGCTGTAAGTAGTACAAGGGGTAGTCACAGCATGGTCTGTGGTTTGGCACAAGAAAAAAGGAAGGAGAAACTAAACATGGACAAATTCATTGTGAAAATAAACAAATAGAATAAACCATTATTTGGATGTAGATAGAAGGAAAAAGTGAAGGAGAAGTCAATGAGGACTGCAGAGCTGATGAAGGAACAAAAGTGCTACCTAAGTTTGTGACATTCAGGAGTAGATAATTAGAACCAAGGGAAAAAAATTAATTTGATTGGTTTTCTGCAGTCCAGTATCTCAGTTCTGCCTTATAGTCACATATATAAATAGTATAAATGGGCTTTAAAGAGGTTTCATGCCACAAGATGAAAAATATTCTCTTAAAGCAACACACCTTCTTGAACAGGACTGAAAATTATATCCTGGAAAACCATCTGAAGATGTTCTGCTATTTGTGGGTATGCAGATCTACATAACCAAAGTTACACTGGCATACGATGAAGTAATGGACACTGCATTTCCTTACTCATTTGTCTGAACACACCTACATACAGTCCCTAATACAAAGTAGGAAGCTAAAAATTGCTTTTAAAACATTGTTCTTTCTCAAGCAGAAATTAACTTCTAAGCAAGGGTTTATCAATTTTTTGATAGTAAAGTCTTCCAGTTTTGCATGTCTGTAAGAGAACATTTGAATAAGAGTAATAAAGGGGTGAATCTGGGAATATGGCTAGTTTTCTTCCATTTACTGACTGGAAAACAGAATTCACTGCCGTGTGAGTCAGGGAAAAAAATATTCAGGAGAAAATGTAATCTCATAGAATAGAAACTTTTTGTTTTGTTTTTGTTCCAGTGCTGCTAAAAAAAGAAAAATCAAGATGAAATTTCAAGTTTCAGCTAAGATTCTTCATTTTGTCAAGATTTTAAATCCTTCAAAATTCAAAGGCTAATTTTACATGAAGTAGAATTATTGTTTCAACTCATGTAAACTAAGTATGACTTTTTTTTCCCCATTTATTTTAGTAGGAAATTAAATATTTAGAAATAACATTGGAGAGATCCAATTGTCATATGTAACCAGGGTGCAAGACAACCATTGTTTTTTCATATTTGTGTTCTGTAAAGAGGAAAATTTTACCCATCAGTGATATTGCAGTTAAAATTGAATATTGCCAACCCATAAGTACTGCTTTTAAACAAACAGCCAAGTGTTATTGTTTTATTTGTTCTTATCATGTTCATATTAAAGAGAAATTCAGTCATGGATGAGACATCTATCGTGCTCATCATGATCTGTATTACATAAAAAAAACAGGGGAGAAAGAAGAAATCATGTTGCAGGGTATTATTTTATATACAGGTTATTTTTATATGGTGTGCACAAATACATACAGCTGCTTTCTACCTGGAAAAATATTGCTTTGCCATCAAGCCTCCAGAAGTTTGTGACCGGATAGCCACTGTGTCCTCGGCAAGGAATCAACTCGAGGGCAGAGTTACAGTTGGGGCAGGCTTTCTCTGTGAACAGAAAGAAACTACTGAAGAGGTTGGTTAGGGACAAGGATGTTGCTTGAGAGTAAACAGAGCTCAAGAGTAACATGATCACACTTTTCCAAAATTCAGCTTAAAATGTATTATTTAAGGAAATGCAACATGGACTACCAAGTATAGCTAAATGGTATGAACTAGAAGTTCCCACTAGATGTATGCGCTAGTAATTTAAAGGATTTAAATCCATATCCCCTTAAATATTTGCAGACAGACATTGATGAGATTTGGAATTAATCAGTCACTGCAATTATGCCTTAGTCTGCCTGCAAGTAAGGGTGACTCCAGTTTGGAAATCAAGCCCAGATGCCAGAAATGGGGTCCCTTGGGCACCGCAGCTCTCTCTGGGTGCCTCTCACTTTGTTGCTTCTGCCGAGCCTTGTCGCATATGGCGGGGCGCAGCTGCAGCCTGGCGCCGCCGGGCAGAGCGCAGCTCCGGGCACACACCACCACGCCCAGGCAGGACTTCTTGAGGATCTGGCAGTTGTGGTTGTTGGTGTTGCGCATGGCCCAGCCGCTGAGGTGCCGCTGCGCGTTCTTCTCCTCGCTCGAGTAGATGAGCCGCACGTAGCCATCGGGCCACTCCTGGAAGGTGTCGAAGTGCTTGGGCTCCTGCAGCGGGACAGGTCGGGTGGGAGGGCAAGGCAGCAAGGAGAAGAGCAAGAGAACATTATTAACGTATTACAACCTGATATTTTTGCCTTCTTATAAGACACATAACGGGGGTAAATGCTTTTTCTATCACCAGACAAGCAGCACAAAAAAACATCCAAAGAATAGCTTGTTCAGAAATGCTCTCCAAAAGGGCTAGGGCAAGCTAAGATTCCGTATCTGAAAAGAAAGTTGGGATCCTTTCCTCTTTTGCATCATGCATTGTAGCACCGTCTGCTGATGCATTTGCCTTTTCCAGTGAAGTTATATCAGCTATAAGACATTAGCCTTACTCCCAGAATTCACTGACTAGTGTACTATCAGTGTGCCCAGACAGAATACAAGCCACTCTGATCATGACTGCTATTAAGTTCTCCTTGTTGTGGGATAATGCACCTGCAGGCAGAAAACTAGAAGTTTTAGCTATGGAATGGCTTCTTAAAGTGCATCTAATATGATTTGAATAAGGTTTTTCCCAAAAAGAATAGAGATAAAAAGATTTGTTATTGCAAATGTACTTTCAATATATGTATAGTCACACAAACAAAGAACATTTCAGTTTGGGATTTCATGGCTTTCTGGAGTTCCTTACTAAAATGTAATTACTAGACCTCTGAAAGAAGATTTTAAACTGCAAATATTTATAATGCAATATGTATTTAACATATGTATGTACCACATGTGAGAGGAATCCCAGCAAACAGAAGCAAACTATCAGTATTTACAGCCTTAAGACCTTCATTAAGGCATAAGAGCATGGGCTCTGTAAACTTAAACTCTAAGAGGAAAAAAGTCGCAAATTTAAAAACCCATTTGAAATACACAACTAGAAAACAGTGGAGTGCTCATTGGCATTAAAGTGTTGCATCAATAAACCAAAGAAATAATTATGTAGCTTGGGTCATAGTAGTAAACAATCAATTCGAGTTCATATTGAACAAGGAAGAGGAGGGAGGAGGAGGAAACTGTCCAAATGGAGCCACAGGTTGTTCTAGGAGTTCATATCCAGCTAGGCAAAGCTGTGTATCAAATCCATACTTTTATTATAAGTGACTCTATAAAGACTATAAAACAACACAAAGTGAAAAGAGGAGTAAAGCAGATGTAAAACAAAGCTTTGCTTAGAGTGAAGTTCGTTCTGCTGTTCCCCAGCTCCACGTTAGACCTGGACGGAACCTTTGCCCAGTACCTCCCCGCCCACCCTGTACCTGCGGCAGCTTGGGGTCGTTGATGTCCCAGGTAAGTTTCATGGCAGAGGGTGGCCGTGGGTGGCGGCTCCCGGCTTTTTATGCCGTCGGGGGCGTTGCTGAGGTGTGGGCGGAACAGCAGCGCTATCACCGAACCCCACCGCAGCCCCTGGGTGGGGTAGGAGCTGCGGTCCTCCTCCACGCCACGGGCGGGTTTCGCTGCCCTCACCTGAAGGGGTGTGACTGGGGGGTAGATGCAGGGGTCGTGCACAAATGCCCCCCCCCCCCCCCCCGCAACACTGGGGGCCGTGACCTCGGCAAATTTGAGCCGGGTTCGGAAGTCTAACCGGGCAGCCGCGGGGCTCTGCCGCTCGCTCCCGCGGGCGGTCGGGATGATGGGAGGGGTGACGGGAAGATCCCGTCTCTGCCCGACCGGGATTCTCTTGAGCGTGGCTCGGAGCTGCCCCCACCTCGTAAAGTGTCTGGAGGGAGGCAAAGATGCTGAATAAGCTGCTTTTTGGATGTAAACGAAATCGGCGTTACTTGGCCGGTTTCCCCTTGCCATATGCTCGATAGTAGCTGGTTTAAAGTGCAAAGTTGGTGTTGGTGCCGTTGTATTGATAGGCACATTTGAACTTATTGAACAGTTACAGATTTTGTGTTACCTTTTTATTTTCGAAAAGAACATGTGATGGGGTCTGAAGTTAGGAACTTTTTGTTTGGTTCGTTTGGTTTTCGTGAATTTGTTTTTATTGGTTTTCTGGGTTTTTTTTGTGTGTGTGTGTGTTTTTTTTTTTCCTTGGTTTGAGTTTTTCTTTGGAGTTGGGAAGAGATTATGGGAAGAAAGGAGGGAGATTGATTTTTGGTGTGAAAAACAAGAAAGAAAAACGCCATCCACAACAGCATAGAGACCGAGCCGTTGAACTCCGAGCGCCGCTATCGCACTTTAAACGACGCCACGTGCTCGCAATGATTTTTCTCATTCACTTCCTTCCTCTCTGGTCCAAAATTTACTGAATTTTACCCTCGGCTAAGCCAAATAACGCCCACCCGGCATCAGCACACGCCGGCTGTGGCACCCCTCGGCCAAGAGCAGCCCCCAGGGATGCTCCGCTCCCCTCCTTTGCACCCCGGGGCTCGGCGGGGGTCAGTGGGATCCGCTACGTGGGGCCCGCCGTAGGTGCCGCGCAGCCGCGACTTTTTAGGGCGGAAGGCGACCCGGGATGCTTTTCCTCTTTTCTTTTTCCCGCCACTGCTGGGGTAGCGTGCGAGGGCTTGCTGAAGAAAGGAAAGTGCTCGGAGCTGTGGGAAAGGCCGGCAGGGTCGCCCTGCGCCGTAAGCACGGGTGTGTCGAGCCGTAGCTGCAGCAGTGGCTGGAGCGGCAGCGGCAGCAGCAGCAGCAGGGAGGTCGCGAAGCAGCTCTGCGGCATGGTCCTTGTGCGCTTAGCGCCCCGCGGGTGGAACCGCACAGCGGCCACGGCGAGGTGGCCGCGCCGCGCTCCCGCCGCGCTCCCGCCGCGCTCCCCGGCGCCGTCAGGAGCCTCGGGTGTTGTGGTGGGTAGTTTTGTACTTCAGGTAGTGATAATGAAGGAAAACCAGCGAAACGAGTTGGAATTTTGAGTTTGGAAGTAGGGAGGGGATGAGTAGGTGCTCTTCAATTTTGGGGCGGGAAAAGTTGTTTGGGTTTGTTGGTTGGGTTTTCTTTTTTGGGGGAGACGGGGGAAGAAGATTGTTTTTTTCCTGTATTTTTCTCTTCTTTTATTTTCAAAGGAAGAAAGAAGTGACGAACTAAGTAGAGATGTGTTTGGCGGTATGGCAGACAGAGCAGAAGGCTACGTAAGGATCTTTGAAATGCGTTCTTATCTTTATCTTACAAATTGCCATATATATATATATATATATATAAGTGCATTTCTTAAGTGACTATAGCATGACCCAGAATTTTTAGTAATTTTCTTTAATGTGCGAAGTGTAGTAATCCTCTTAATCTTTTCTTTAGTAAGTGAGAATAAATTACTGTAATAGTTGTGGGACTTACAAACTGGCTATACTAAATTGCTTATTTCTTTGCTTGGTGTCTTTTATAATTATTCTGTTTCAAGGGTTCTGTCTCTTTTGGACATTAAGACTGATGTTTCACTTCAGATGTAGTAATAAAATGAAAGTAGAGAAACAATATAAAACAAACAGAAACTTGCAACTTTTAAAATATCATTACAAGTATTTTATCATAATTAGTGTGCCTACAATTTCAATGCCCGCTTATTTTATTCACTAATTGTTTCCTTCCCTTCTCTCTGCAGCTCGAATCATTGCTCATTGATGCCTTTAAAGGGAAGGGGTTTCAAAAAATTGATGAACTGTTTAAAGAGGCGAAAGTAAAGCTTCCCCAGATATACAGTGAGTCTCTCTTTAACCAGCTGGACAAAGCACTGATAAAGGCGAGTATCATAAATAATCTCAACTTTCCTAGCAGCCAACTCGGAGAGTAGCAGGCTAATGATGCACAGCACTCTGTGTTTCTACAGGAGCTGGACAAGAATGAATTCAAGAATGTTTCATTGCTGCTGAAATGTATTCAGCTCTACCTTAAAAGTGATATTGGAGAAGGGAAGAGCTTGCTTATTGAGCAAGGACTGGTACCAAAGATGAGTATAATATTGTATACAATTTACTAATGTGATTTAAGGTTGTTTGCATCAGAAAAATCTCCAAGGAAGTGAAAACTAGATGATGGCTTGTTGGCCTCACAGAAACAAAATATTTTTTTAATATTTGCATGAACTGAGTGGGAGAAAAAATGCTTAGTCTCTTACTGCTTTTGGTGTAGCACCCAATTTTATGGCTCCACTTACTAGCTGATGTAAAGGGTTGGATTGTTTTGGGTTTTTTAAAAGCTGATAGTAGAAGGAGAGGATGAGTTTCTATAAGTCCCATTATTGAAATGATACAGACTTTCTAAATCCATTTTAAATGCTCCAGCAAAATACAGTTTTAGTAATAGAATTAATGAGTAATTTGTGCATTTATATTTTTAAAAACTGAGATATTCTTTATGAAGATCCCTCTCTAGTTATGTAGTAAACCCGATGCATTTAATCTGCAATTGTGTTTTATCTTCTGCCACTATATTGATTTCAGCTGGTAGTAGTTGTAGTAGCAGAAAGGAAATTGTGTTGAAGACAAGTAACACCTGGATGTAACACAGGTGTAACTGTCAGGGAACAGCTAACACATGCTCTCGGTTAGCAGAGAACTGACTGAGAGTCCTCAGTCCAAAATGTTGTATTCCTGCCTTGTAGTTATGCTTTTCAGGGTTACTGTTGCTCAAAATTCCTGTATGGAAATAAATTAATATTTTTTTTCCAGTCTGAGCTCTGTACTTTGTCAGTGGAACGTAGATTTCTAGTTCACCATTTTTGTATGATCTTATGCAATGTTTAAAACCATGAAGTATTAAAATATTTACCTTGAAAAAGCTTGAAAATATTATACAGTATTTTGCTGTGAGTTGATGTCTTCTATAAATGTCTGTAGTAGTTCTGGTGCCACTAACAGCATCTATTGTGTCTGAGCACCATGAACGGATGCCTTGGACAAGAAAGGAGGATAAAAGGAGGGCTAGGGAGGGAAGGGGAAATGGCACTTTTCACGTCCTTAAAGCCATGTAACTTTTGACACAGTACATGACTGAAGTTTAAAAAGGTAAAGAACTCTGTAAGGTTTTACTGCAGACGTATATAATTTAAGATTATTAATTCCTCTTCTCAGTTTTTAACTACTTTTTTTTTTAACTTTTACCTGGTATCTTGGTTTGAAAGAGCAAAAGAGTTTATGACCATCATCGACCCAAATGAGAATGAATTTTTGATCTCAATGCTTGAAGACTTCTTTGATTCTGCATTGGTATGTTTGTGCATTTAAGGGGACAGAAGGGTTGCCTTTATGGGATAAGATAGCTATTGTTCACAAAGAATTTTCTGTTAGAAAATAAATATGTGCATGGTGCCCTCAGGCTGAGCCTGGGATGCAGCCTAGTGGTGTGGGTGGGCAGTGTCTAGGAGTGTGCTCCAGGCTGGCATCTGGCTGACACACTTGGGAGAAGCATTTTCTCATTTTCTAGCTTGAAGAATTTGTTTCTGTAGAAAAATTTGCAAGAAATACTGATGCATTTTGTAAATGAAAGCTTGTGAGCTGAAGCTGTCTTTAAGACCCAGAAGCTACTAACACTGAACTGTACTTCATGTACAAGCATGTTTGCTAAGGTGGTCCTGGCGATTTGTTCCTACTCTGTTTGAAACAGATTATTTAATTCTAAAGAATGATCTAACTTACTTACAACTCTCATTTAGGTTTGAACTTTAAATATTCATGACTTTAAGGGTGTTAGAGGCCTAGTGATGTAACATTTGTAATAGCAAGAATGCTTTTTAGCTTTTTTGCCCCCAAGCTGTTGCTCCCAGTATTGTTGTCTGGAGCTTACTGGAACTGTGTCACTTTGTGCATCAGAATTCATATCAATACCTATGGCTCTTTTCAGAAGTTCTGCTAAAAGATAGTTGATCAAGATGGAGGTTTGTTTTTTCTGTACTAACCACTTTGAAGTTATAAAATACCCATTTATTTTCCCAAAAATTGAATTTCTTTTGAATTATGTCTTCCTGCTATGTTTCTTCCACATGCTTTCACTGTGGAAGAGAAAGTGTTTGTGTTATAGAGTTGTTTGTAATTTTCCTCGAGGGACTTCAACACCCTGAAATCCCTGGGGGAAGTGGATGCTTGGCTACTTTTACCCTCCCTGCATATTGTATGATCAGGGTGACCATATGTGACATACCTGGATAAGGTGGCTTTTTCTGATGTGGGTACGCTAGTGTTTTATGTTACTCTGATGTGGGTACATACTGTTTCATGTAATTTAGCATTTGAAAGTTGGGGGGTGAGGAAGGTGTCCATAAACAGCTTGGCACTTCACATACTGCTGTTCTTGGATGGTGGTGTGCTACTGAAGGCTTGTTTTACTCTTTCCATCAGGTGATTTGCAGATGCGGTCGTGAAGGTAAGTATTTTTTTTCCTTCCATTCTTCAATATAATGAATATTAATCTTGGGAGCATATATCTTCATTCTGCTTGAACTCTGTCCCTGTTCTCTTTTCAGCTTTCTACTTCTTCCTCTCTGTAATATTTTTTTAAAATCCTCCAACTATTTCTC